CTCTCTCCCCCTTTTTCTCTCTCTCTCCCCTTTTCTCTCTCTCCCCTTTTCTCTCTCTCTCCCCCTTTTCTCTCTCTCTCCCCCTTTTTCTCTCTCTCTCCCCTTTTTCTCTCTCTCCCCCTTTTCTCCCCTTTTTTTCTCTCTCTCCCCCCTTTTTTTTCTCTCTCCCCCCTTTTCTCTCTCTCTCCCCCTTTTTTACAACTGATACTCCATCTACTTTTGTAATTTATTTAAAGAGACAAGTCACAATCCTTAAAATATTTTAACTTCCCTTGTGCATTATGTTTAGATATTGTTTCATTTCCTGTATTCTGTTAACAGATTTAGGCCCCATTTTAAAATAATGCTTCAAATTTGCCAGAAACTCAGTACTTGAATCTCTCATAACATCAGAGATATGAAGGCACTGCTGGATAATACTGATAATGATATATACATATAGTCTTTAGATGGATAAATGATAAAACGTTTCTGTTAAAAATAAAATTCTTTAAACAATATTGGTGACTTCTTCACATTTTTTTTTTTTAATCTGATAAAATTGTTATTGTGACTCACCTAAATTTTATTTGTTCTGTCTATTTTTTTTGTGACTTTTTCAGGCTCTGAAATTGCAACAATTTTTGTTTACTTTTTAACCAATTTCTAGTGGAATTGTTATTGTATTTTACAGCATCAAATATACAATATTTTTTGCCCTAAGACAAACCTTGAAAATTTAATCAATATTTATAGTTGAGTTTGGACTAAATTCTTCATTTTTATTGTTTTGGGCAGAAACATTCTGGATTTCCACTGGTGTCAATTTTGACATTTGTTCATTCTCTCTTATCCATGTCACATCTGGTATCTGCACTTGTGTGTTTTTGTAATTCTACTTGGGGCTTGGAATGCAAAACCTTCAACTTCCTCTATCTTTTGACACTTCCAACTCCTCTTTATGTAATTAAGTGATCATGGCCTATGGACCTCATAAAGCCTATGCATATGCTCCTAACTTGAGTAGGCCTATATCATTATAACTGATTTATATCAAAGAATGAAGATATTGTAGCTTTTATATCATACCTATTCAATATTTTCTAACAGAATTAGAGAAAATCTTTGAAAGGATTTAAAAGAAATAATAAAAATAAAATGTAATGTAAGACACACACACACACACACATATATATATATATATATATATATATATATATATATATTTGGAAATAAGTACAGAACAAAAATAAAACTGCTTTCTAACAAGTTAAAATATAATCTTTTACAGGATGTAACAGACATAAAAATAGAATGACTTTAACAAAGAAGTTGAGATGAATTTCTTTAAAAGAAATACTAATTATAGAGTAGAAGAAATGAAAATTCTATAATGTAAGACTTTTTTTACATAAAGTGTAAATTCAACTGGAGTCTGAGTTGGTAAAACTGCAGTGACTCCTTAACTGCTTCTGACTCCAACTCCAAAGCCCTGATTCTACTAGCTGGATCATGTACTAATATACAATGTTATTAGGATATTATTCTCTTGCTCTGTCTGTTGAACCTATGACCTTTTGCCAGTGACCTGCTAGCTCGATCTTTTTAATTTTTCCATTGTTTATAGACTATCATGGTTGTTTTTTTTGTAAATTTGTAATACATCTTAAACTGGAGGATAGTCTGTTTGGGACAAGTATCTAACCATTTTGAGTCTCTCAAGAGCAAGTTGCAGTCAGCAACTTCACTGAGCATGAATGAACACACACCATTGAGAAGTTACACCATCTTCAGTAAAATGCCATTAACCTGAGCTTACTATATAATTGTTACATTCACAATTACCCAGCAGGTATATTCATGTTTTCATTTTCAGTAAAACATTGCATCACTCGGATATTTTTGGTTCCCTCTACCTACATAGACCAGGCTTTTATAAATAATTATTCTGTTAGTAATATTTACAGTATGATTCGTAAAAACGCTTTTAAGTAGGCGCGCAAGGGGGTTGTCAGTGATGTTTTGACTTGGTTCATCGGGGAGTTTCGGGTCTTTCAACATCATACTCCACATCACCAAATCGACCCAATCAGGGAGATCAACCCCTGATTCCCCCTTCTGATTAAACGCTACCAGCTACTCTGGCCTTTTTAAAGAATAAGAGGAAGAAAGACCACATATTCAGCGCATCAGATTGGATGTTAGTAACAACTAATCTGCTACTTGTGGACTAAATTTTAAATGGCCCTGGTGGGGACTGGCTTCTTTTCTTATTTAGGTGGATTGCAGTTTGATGGATAACTGAGGAGGTAATCTTAATGTTCCTAAATCTTAACCTATTTCCTTAAGTATTTTAAGGTTTAATTATTTGCCGTTTTTATTTTGTACTTTTTTCCTTTTCTTTGGCGGGGATACTTGAACTCAACGCTATTATCACATTTTATCGTTAGCCTGTTTCTTAATACAAATAATATATACAAAAAAGGGAAGGCTTACGTTCAAAAAAAAAAAAAAATTTTTTTTAAATTATATTTATATATATATATATATCACTAAAAACCGATGACAAACTAATAAAATAAAGATGATCTATGCAAACAATATTTGGCAATGATCAAGGGGAAAAACACTATAAATACACTATATGCGCATTATAATTCCGATTTAAAATATACAAAAATGTGAAATGTTCGTCTAAAAATAAGAAAAATAAATAAATTAGACAAAGGGTCTAACGTTCGAATAATAATAAAAAAAAAAAAAAAACGTCTTACGTTCGAAAAAATAAAAATAGACAAAAGGCCTTACATTCAAAAATATATATATATATATATATATATATATATATATATATATATATATATATATATATATATATATATATATATATATATACAAGGTCTTGCATTCGAATAAAAAAAAAAAACTAATTATGAGAATAATGGACAAAAAGTCTTACGAGATGTCGCGCTGAAACCGCTAAAAAGGTAAATAGTAACTTAAAAGGTACCGCATATAACACGGGTTTAACATAAAAACAACATATTTACAAATCATACAATTTACAAATTGACAAGATAAATTCTTTGGCTGTACTTGTACAATTCAATTCGTGTATTTACTCACATTCGCACACACACACACACACACAAAAAAAAAAAAATTATAAATGTTTTTAAATTAAAAATGTTTACAATATTGCCATTATATTAAAATTATTTACAAATTTTCCCGGCTTGATAATTATTTGTTACATTGATGTCCAAGAGCTATCACGCTTAATCCATAACCATTTTGCTGTCCTTTCTGCTGTATTAGTTATGGTCCAAATCACCTTTCTTTTGTTAGCACCTACTACGCCAATATCAGTTAGAGCTTTGCGTAGGGACCTTGCAGCAAAACCCCTTACACCCACCTCGATTGGCAAACAGCTTGATTTCCACCCATTGTTTTAGCAACTCGCTAATAGTTTGTCGTATTTTAACATCTTCCGTTCATGGGCTTCTTCTGCATGCTCTTCCCAAGGCACTGTCAGTTCCCACATTATAACCTTTTTAATATTGTTAGAGTAGAACACTAAGTCGGGGCGTAATAATGTTTGCACGATGTGGTTAGGGAATTTTAGTCTTTTCCCTAAGTCGACCCTTAATTCCCAGTCTGTTGCCAGTGATAGAGTATTTGCTACATTCTTTTGCTTTTTGGGGGGGTTTCTCACCAGCTCTATGGAACTCTAGGGCTCTTTTATCTGTGTTTAAAGTATTGGTGCTGATGGCCATACTAACTATCTCTTTTAAGATTTCATCATGCCGCCATCTGTACCGGCCTTCCGGATTTGTCAACTCTTTAACCAAGTTTCTAGTAGGTCTTTTGTTTCTTGGATTGCTGTTGTGTCTTTTAGAGAGTGATCTATACGTTTTCCAAGGTTTTTTACGGGCATTTCCCTAATTGTTGGTATGTCTCCCTCGGTTAGTCTGAATCGCTCTTTATCTAATATGTTACCTTTCCTTAAAATGAGTGACCTTGATTTCGCGGGGTTGAAGCTCATTCGGGCCCATGCGATCTGCTTTTCAATCACCTTTAGCAGCCATCTCGCGCCAATAACGGACATAGTAGTTATTGTCATGTCATCCATGTAGGCTCTTATAGGAGGTTGCCTTAATCCTGATCTGGTGACTGGCCCTTTACATTCTGTTTCTGCCGCTTTAATTAACATGTTCATGGCTAGACAGAAGAGGGTCGCTGAGATTGTGCATCCTGTTATGATGCCTTTCTCCAATTTATGCCATGCCGAGGCTGTATTTCCTGATAACGTTCTCATTTGGAAGTTATTGTAGTAATCAGCGATTAATTCAGTAATTTTACTTGGTACATAATGGTGATGGAGGGCTTCTTCTACTAGTTTATGTGGTATTGATCCGTAGGCGTTTTTAAGATCTAACCACACGATTGCTATATTGCCCCTATTTGCCTTCGCTTCTTTTAACAATTGCGATACAACCCCTATATGCTCCATACATCCCGATATTCCTGGTACTCCACCTTTTTGCACAGAGGTATCTATGTACTTATTTTTAAGAAGGAAATCTGCCAAGCATCGGTTTAAGATGCTAAAAAATGTTTTACCCTCTGTGTTCAACAAGGAGATGCATCTAAATTGGTCTATCCTTCTGGATTCCTCCTCTTTAGGGATCCAAATGCCTTCGGAGTGTCTCCATTGTCCAGTTATTTTCCCTCTTCTCCAAATAACTTTTAGTAACTTCCATAACATCCGACGGAGCTTTGGACAACGTTTGTAAACTGTATGGAGGCCGTTCTGGCTGCGTTAATTTCCATCCAAGTTGGTTCTTTCAAGTCAAAAGGCATTAATGGTATATTAGGGATTATCAGGGACATGTTTTCTACAAATTCTAGCTGTCTGTTTGGATCACTCAGGGTTTCTTGTAGGAAAGCATTGATTTCACTAGGGGTACTCTCCAACTGACCACTTCGTTTTTCCCCTAACAGCTTCTTTGTGAAATTGAATGGATTTTAGAGAAATACCATACGTTTCTTTGCCCTTTCTTTCCTCCTTCATCTACGCCATTCTGCTCTACGTAAAGATTTAATTCTTAAACGAACTAGGTCTCGAAGCTCTCGTAAGGGTTGTCTCTCTTCGGGTTTCGCAATTTTAAATTGCATATGCATATAATAGCCATACTTGGCTATTATATGCAAGTTATATTAAGGCTTGCATTAATTTTTGACCACTGACAATCACTTTCTCCATGATTTCCAATGCATGTTTATAGTAAAATTATTAAGAATCTGGTGAGGCAGTTATGGCAAAAGGAATTTGCAAACTGTCTTAGAAATGGAGGGAAGTTAGGATGTGTATATGATATTGGAAAAGGAGTTCTTTGAAAGGGGAGCAAGGTGTCAGTACCTAAAGTAGGCTAGATTTATTTATTTTTTTTATACACCTGTAAAAGTTTTAAATATAAATAAATAAAACAAAACTGGTTATAAACATCCTAATATCAATGATTTGGTTTACTGACACATTTTCTATCTAGATGATTATTACATGACCCACTGCATTACATATATATGAATTGGGATCAAATACAGATCAGAATCTGACAGAATAAGATAAGGGACAAATAAGAAACGTTTCCTCATATATATATATATATATATATATATATATATATATATATATATATTAGTTAATCAGAAAAGAGTTCCACTTTGTTATATTACTTACATGCAAATACCCTTGGGAAAGGTATGAATTCTCCTTCCTCCCCCCCTAGAAAGACTTGTAACACTAAACAATTATCACAAAAAAAAAAAAATATATGCAATCTAAAAATATTTTGTGCAAAAGGTTGATAATCTGTTAAAAAAACCAAATCAATCGACCAAATGCTGTGCAAATAAACATTCCTAACATACATTCTTTGAATGCTCTGAGATGTGTTGTCAGTTATATTTTCCTGGCTTCATAAAATTTTTTTATGTTTCTTTGGTTAGGTTTTATGACTTTTTGAGACATTATTTTTATTCATTTTTTTTTTTCTTAAATGTTTTTTCTACAATTCTGGTACCATTCATGGTTCTTCAATGAAAATAAAGAAAAATTTTTTTTTTTTATATTACTGTCAACTCATTTTGCCACTATTTAAAAAGGTAACAAAAAATTAAAATTCCTATCATGGTTATCATGATTGATAGTTATTATTGCAGTATTTGTGAAATGTGTTGATAATACTAAGTACTGATACATATGAAAGCATTTCATCAAATAAATTATCAACACTGTCTGCTCATTGTAACAATAACTATATTTTCAAAATTTATTACTATCAGGAATTTTATCATGTTGCATTTCTACCACTACTACTCCACTTCACATTAGTCCTTTTCTGCACTAACGCATTAAATATCTTTGTTGGTAAGGAAAAAAAAGAGGGTTAAGTACTAAATTTGTCAATTTTTGAATGAAAGTATGTTTGAGCAGATATCAGCACACTTGTTCATTATTTACACATACGCAAAATAAAATTTTTTTACAAAATACAACTTCATTTTATTTTACTTTGACAAGAGACACAGGCATTCCCCATTTTTCTCAGGCTTATATTTTGTCTAATGGCCTAATAATACACAATAAATATTATTATTCTATCTTTTTCAATTTCTCTCTCTCATGGCATGGTGAGTCTTAACTGAAGGTTTGATCTGGTGGAATTAAGGAATATAGTTTGCATCTATTGATAATTAATCCACAAGTTTACATTTCAATACACTTTTCTGAACATTGGCCATGAAAATAGCAATATCTGGAAGAATCATTTTGTTGTTCTCAAAAATACTTGAGTAATATTTGCTTGCAAAAAAAAAATAATAATAATAATTATTCATAAAATCTAAAATGTTTCAGCTTTAAATAACTTACAAATGGTTAATAATCCATAAAAAAAAAATGAATTAAATCAAATTGATAAATGTAAATGAGTAATTGAATAGCAAAATGGAGAAAATTCCCAAAATATTAAATCCCGAGAAGGAACATTTCAAATTAATGGGGTTTTATTGATGAAGTCAGTCTTATCTATTTCAGGTCAGGAGCAGAATACAAAAAAAAAACAATTTTATATTGAACTTGAAAGATACACCAGACCTCAAAATTTACATTTAAAGATGAATGTCCTTGTATTTCAATGTTTAACTTAGCCTATTCAACCTACTACCATTTTTCTTAGTGCCTCTTTATGACATTTGAAATATAAAATTGTAACCAGTATTTGTTGTCTTTCCTCCACATTGTATATAAATAATCCATCAATAAAACTATTAGTTTGAAGAAATTCTTTTTAGAGATGCAAAAAGCCACTTGTGTGATTCTTTATTCATTATTAATATCTTTCATAAATGTAAATGTATCACTAATGATTTTATGATAGAAATATATAGAAAATCCGTAATGAAGAGATTGTTGGTTAGGAACTAATGCTAACATTAACAACAGAATAAGACTATGATTCTGCATATAATGAATCACTTGAATTGTAGCACCAACTCCTGTAAATCTTATAACCTTGGACAATAACCTTGGAATTTCCACAAGTTTACATTTCAATACACTTTGATGGAAGATCAACAGCAAAATAACCTTTAGTCTTTTTGGAACATTGACTCCTTGAAGTTTTGTTACTATGTTGTCTTATCTATGTTAAAATGCTTTTATCGGTGCTTACAGGTATGACCCTGTTTGCATCTATTGATAATTAAGTCCTCTCCACCACCACCACCACCACCACCACCCCAAGCATACAAGGCACAAATTAAGACAAGCAAAAGCAAAATAGGTCACCTTCACAATTAACTAGAATTTGTCTTGTCAGGAGTTTGAGGGGGGGGAAAAAAAGAAAAATGTTGACAATTTTTAATTTTTTTGAGCATTGACCCATTATCTCAGCTTCAGACATTTCCCACCACCTTAACATAGCTTCTCTATAATATTTTAATGCCAAGTGTCCTGATGAGCTTTCCTTGTTGATACCTCAACTTCATGAATTTAAGTGCAGTACTAGATTAGCAGCTAGGTCTCATAATTTCAGTTAGAACCAAGAGTAGTTTCAATGAATGTGTATTGGTTATTTATATTTGAGTCTATGAGCATTTACTTGGTTCAGTAATAGGTAAATGTTGGCTCAATCTTTGTGTAGGTATTTCTGATAAGTTTAGTCTGGCACAAGATTACAAGAGTGAGAGACTTGGAATGAAACTCCCTAAACTTGCAATGATCTATCATTGTTTTTATCAGACGTATCACAGCCGTATAAACTGAATATCAAAGATGTGAAATAATTTTAAAGATTTTGTATTCCTTTGTTTTTTTGTATGACTTCAAATGACCTTCCGATAAAAGATATCACTTGTCACTTTGTTTTTTGTATATCAGTTGATCCCAACACTTGAATTAAAAACAAAAACATTGATGTTTTGATTGAAGACTGCAAATCTTTTTTTAAAATAGCATTCTATGACCATTGTATACAAGTGTACTATTCAAACCTCATAATCAAAATTTGAATCTTGGATATTTGATTAGCAATTGTGAATCAATTAAAATAACTCACTATTTTAAATGTGGATCAAAAGTTACTTTATTGTAATATTATTTTATTAGCAAGTTTATATTTCAAATTCTAATACTTTGAACATTTTTTTAATATTTTTTTTATTAGATATTTTTTATTCCCTCAGAGACCCTTTTCTGCCTTCCATCAGCAAGGCTGATGCTGACCACCAGGAGAGTCACTTGTTGCATCTTGAGCTAACATTCTCTGCTGGCATGAAGTAGAATGATTATATTGAATCATTTGCTAAGACTACTGCTAGGAAAATTGGTTCACTGTGTCATGCTAGATAATTTTTCTCTCCAGAATCTGTCTTGCATATTTGAGCCTACCATTCTTCCATGAATATTGTTGCCACATCTGGTCTGGTGCTCCTGCTATATGTTTAGAGACTCTTGATAAAATCCAAAGAATCTGCAATTTTATTGGTTATGACCTGGCATTCTCAGCTTCACTCACTTTTTCCACTCCCATAATGTAGCTTCCCTATGTCTTTTCTGTAAATACTTTAATGGTAATTGTTCTCATGAACTTTCCTCTATGAAATCTTTATGAATTTAAGCTCAATACTAGATTGGTGGCATAGTCTCATCATTTTACAGTTGAAATGGCTAGATGTAACTGTAAGTTCTATGCTAACAGTTTCTTTCGCACTTCTCACTTGTGGAACTCTCTCCCAGCTTTTCTTTCCAGCCAACTTTGATGTTCAAAAATTTAAATGCAATGTCAAACATTATCTACTGACTTCCTGATTCTTCTTTTATTGTTTTCACTCCATAATAATGTTTTTCTTTTTTTTATTCTTTTGGACTCGGTAGCCCCTTGTGGCTTTATTGCCATGTTTAGGGTGAAATGATTAAAAAAAATATATAATTTGGTGAACTCTTTATTTCACTAACAAGTAATTTTTAGCCCACTATGTATAGCTTTTGGTACATCAATAACATTTTATTCTTTATAATTTGTGGCATTTTTTGTTATCGCTGAGAACTTTATAATTTGGTTCTTGGAAGCCATATTTGTTGATCCAATTTCACTTTGGGTTTGCCAGAAAAAATCTTTTATTTGCAAAATAAAAAAAAAAAATCCCAAAATACACCTTTTTACTTATTTGAATCTTGCACTGTTACTATTTTTGATTCCTACAATTTTTCTTTTCTGTCTTATAACAAATTGATTTTAGACAAGATCATTATCAAGAATTTTTTATTTTTATTTTATTTTATTTTTTTTTTTATCTATTTACGGTAAGGTAAATTACAGCACATCTTTCGGAAAGCTAGAGTTAATCTAATTTCTCCCTTGCTATCTGTCCATTTGTGTACATGATTGATTTTATGAGCCCCACCCACCTAAGTTCTGGCAACTATTTCTGGAAATGAAATCAATATTCCAGTACCTTCCCTCTTCATTTTTGGTGCTATTGCCATACTTAAAACTATATGCATCTATAAAAAGAATACCCGCTCGGCCCGGTGGCTAGGATCAAAGTGTAGTATCTGCGCTTTGTGGGCTGCCGGGTCGGGTGTCTGTCGAACTCTCTGCTTGCAGAGAGGAACCCTGACGAGCTCTGCCCAAGGGCAGGGTTTCGCTCGGGGAGGTTGACGGAACTAGCCCCGCTTGGACGGGTTTAGATGGGTTTTATTTTTGGCTGGGCCTACAGGCTCAGACATACCCACATTAAAAAGGCCTTGTGCCACATTCAATTCCTGTGGGTGAATTGATAAATACCATTGCCATACTTAAAACCAAAATTCAAATGCTCTACAATTAATTTTGTTTTTATAGGTCAGTAATCTTTTTCTTCCACATGGTAGCAACTAATAGAGCTTTAGCTATCAGTTAGGGACATTAATTACTGCAGTCACTTTTCTCTTCAAACCATACACCTGGTCAGCACTTGGGAATACCAGGTGCTTTAAGCTTGAATGTGTGCAGGTGGTGTAATGAATAACAGCTCAGAATTGAAAATTTGAGAGCCAAGTTTCAGTCAGGTTTGTTATATTCACTTATACACTTGGGAAATGTATTATTCCACTTTTCCCTCCAGCTATGGGTTAATTATTAAGACTTGTATCAGTAAATCATTATCCCCAAAACATTCTTTCAATCTAAAAATATTTTATAAATTTTAAATTACCTTCAAATGTTGATAAGTCATAAAAAGTAATTGTTCAAACCATACACAAAATATGTCAAAATCAATGTCACTTTAGTTTGTTGGTTGGTTTTATCATACTCGGGTAAACAGATATATATATATAGTCATCCACAGACAAACTGTTTTGCTGTATTACAGCTCGTCAGTGTGGCTAGACATCCGATTGCTTAAAGCTGGGATCAAAACCTGACAGATTTGGCATCAGTCAGAGATCCTACCCCTAGGTTATCATTGCACAGCAGAGAGAAAGGGAAATTTTAACTTTTTCTATATGAAATACGTCAGGAGAGCTCTCTTCATAGTTGAAGAGCAATGCGTTAATAGCAGTAAGAGCCACTGTTTTTAACTTTACCCTTTTCTCCAGAGAGTTCAACCGATTTCGAAAGCATATATATATATATATATATATATATATATATATATATATATATATATATATATATATATATAAACCAAACTCTTCCATGATTTGAATCTCCAACTTTAAGGTAAGCAAGCAAGTAATATACTAAAGCATTGGTATGCTGCAGTTTAAATATTTCTGTAAAATTAACATTGGGATACTAACTTGGGTTTTTAGTCTTCAGCACTTATAATTACTAGTATTTAGTATTATTAGTCTCCCACAACTATAGGTTAACTAGATTGGTATACTAGCTTTGGGTAGCAACCAGCATAAGAGAAGGAAGGCTCTGAATTCCCAACCATGGAGAAGACAACAGGAAACTACCTCCCTATCTTTCCCAAGAAGGCATGGCAGTTCGGATAAATCTCTGAAGAGTCTTAATCATCTACATCCTGAACGGACATAGCACTTTAAAAAAAAAAAAAAAAAAATACTTATTTTACATTTTTTTTTTTTTTTTTTTAAATGATGATGCATTAAACTCATAGGAAAGAAATTAAAGCTAAATTTTATTTTAAGAAAAATTTGTAAAGAAGATTGCACAAAGTGTTCTTGTTTCCATCAAAAACTTTATTAAGGAAAAAGAAAAATTAAAACTTTCAAAATTTACAAATAATTTGAATTTTCTTTGAAAATATTTAAAACTCCATATCTTTACAAGAGTGAAATCTAACCAAAAATCTGTCCTGGGTATGACAATAAACTACATCTCTGTGTCCAGTGTAAGACGATAAACTACATCCAACAGCAAGGCCTCTGATCAGGAGGTTTTGAGGAGCGTGGAACCACCTCTTAATTGCTGGTGTTCCCAGGTCCACCCTGACCTGGGATGGTAGCACCTGTAAGGGTACCAGCTATGGGCAAATAATTAACCCCGAAACTGAGGTAAAAAGCATTATAAAAGTGTAAAAATACTTTGTAAAAAAATTTACCAGAAATAAATTTTTGAAGAAAAAAAAAAAAACTATTACCAGCTATACATTTTTGAGGAAAAAATACTACCAGAACTAGATTTTTGACAAAACAAAATATTACCAGGAAAAAAAAAGTAGTCGGCATTAAATAACCCACTAGGTTGATATGCCATAAAACAACCAACCAATCCAACCAAAAATGGAGTACTATATCTAGGCTGGAGCTGCCTAGTCCTCACTTTTCAGCCTTGCTTGAGTTCAGAAAGCATTTTCACAGCATTGAGGATAACAAATTATTTTTCACTTGACAATCACTATTCCCTAGACAAAAACAGTGCAAAATCTCTCACTACTCCATCACTCTATTAAGCAGTGTTTTACTTCTCTTAGTTTGCACACTAAAAATAAAATTTCAAGTAATAAAAAACAAGAGTATTAATATAAAAAAAACTGTCAGTGGCACAAACAAAACTAAAAATTCTGTTTCATGATTCTATTTTTCAAATCTGTATTGTGAAGTTTTGGGATTTTTATATTAGCTTCTTTTTAACTATGAATAATAGGCCAAACATTTGGGGGGGCCACCCTCTAGATATATAGTGCAATGGATATATTACACAAAAATGGAAATAACACTGACACCTCATTTTAACAGATGTATTTACCAAAATTGCACAAAAATATCTTTAAATACTGAAGATTAAATCTATTCAATAAAATTGCCATTTGCTTCAACTATAGCCTCCAGACAACTTCAGACTCTCTTGTTACTCTTCTGAGTTACAGGAGATTCAGAAGAATGGTCTCTCTGTTTAAGTTGGTGAATGCTGCCATAATTCTTGAATTCAGGTCTTACAAGGAGTCTTATTGGTCTCTTGATTAATTGCACCATAAACATAATCAAGGAGGGGGAGTTAGGTGGTCAGATATAAGGAGTGACATGGTCACAGAAATTGTCTGACAGCCACAACTGGGTTCTCCTACTTGTGTGGCATGGTGCAGAGTCCTGTTGCCAATCATAGGGACTTCCTCTTGACCCAGGGCAACACTACCTCCTCAAGGTACTTGATGTAGGCCTCTGTTGAGTCTGAGGCCCTCACCAACAAATTTGGGCATTCTTTTCTTTTCAGAGTGAGTTTTCTGAGCTGCATAAATCATCATTAGACTAATCCAACTCTTTCAGATTCTTCTGCACTGTCCTCAGATTGACACCCAAACACTCTAAAATGTTCATATTGGAGCTTCTGGCATGAATGCCAAGCAGTACAGCATGCTATTTCCAAATTTCTGGTGGCATAAATTGTGTCATAATCTTTTTCTCACAGATGGTGCCCAACTGACCCTAATATACTGTGCAGACAACAAAATCAAAAACAAACATCATGTATGCACAAAATTAAAAAATATAAAATGGCGATTACCTATAACACTCTGTCTATCTGTGTATGTATGTGTGTAATATATATATATATATATATATATATATAGTGCACCTAACTTGGTATTTCTACACTCTCCCAAAATACATTGATCCTACCTATACACTTCCTCCAAAATTCACCTGTTACCTTAACTCTTTCATTTATTATTGATTCTGTTGGGAAGAAAAATAGACACACTGTCTTTTAAAAACAATATCCCAGCATCTTTCCCTCTATTATTACCCTTCTTTATGATTTGATGACATGTAAGTTCTTTCTACCCAATATTTACATTTAATATTACAGCACTACAGAGTTAAGATGGTAGTTTATGACATAGCTACCTCACTGTTACCTCAAATCCATACATAAGACCTGTTTATTTTTATTTTTTTTATGGTAAAAATAAAAACAAGTCTGTTTACCATCAGATCTTGCAGTCAGATTGAACCACCGTATTATACCTTCAGTAATATAGCCATATTTAATAGTTTAATAGGATCAGGAGCATGTGATTAATCTGTTGACAATTTGGCCTACAGACCTTGCAGTTTCGGTTATAATACTCTAACCAATATGGACTGCTATTAATTTGATAGAAATGTGACCTTTTGGGAATTTCTGCATTTCTCTACTTTTGGTTTTCTTTTTTTTTTTTTTTTTCTCTACAATTTTTATGGAATGCATTCACTGGTTTTCTTCAGTGGCTCTGAGAATAACTATTCACTTCTTTAAGCAAATAAGATACATTTCTTTCTTCCATTGTTTTTTATTGCAAAGATTTTTTTTAATCATATCTTTTTTTTTCTGGGTTAGCTGGGTTTGGCGAAATTGAGATTTTTGTTGGGATGTTTTTTTCTATTCAACTTTGGATAAATAAGTTTTACAAACAAGTCCTCTATGCCTCCACCTCAACAAAAAAATAAAATTAAATAGATCTGTTAAAAGGACACATTTGAGGAGGGCCAAGATGAGAACTGAATTTAATACTTCTGGACTGTGAAATCAACATACTAACAGCTGCATGACAAAAGTGTTTTTTTTTCTCTTTTTTTTTTAAATCCAAGTAAGGTGATAATGCCACTAAGACACAGAGGGTTACAGGGAGTGAAACAGAATGAGGAAACTTTAGTGAGGAAAGGACAATAAAGGAACAGAATTCAAGAAGACAAAAATGGTGATTGACATTTCATTTACATTTTTTAGGTGGCAGGTAAGCAAAAAATCATAAGGCAGTTTCACAGGTGAGAAAATAAATTCTATAAGAATAGAACTTAGTTACATCTAGCTATATCAACAGTAATTAGGTCTCATCCAAAGTAGCTTTTTTTGGGGTGGGGGGAGAAATGCTGTTACTGGTCAAGGCTGGTAGGCAAGCATATTTTGAGGCCTTACTAAAATTTTGATTTTCTTTTTCAACAAGCAGCACAGAGAACATGAATTCTTTTTTGAGGTAAGACTTTTTTTTTTCCTTTGTCACAACATTAAGCATAAAAACTGAGCACTGAGGAGTCCTCTCCTGATGACTTAGTACAATGGGTTAAATTTTAATTTTTTTTTTTTTTTTAATGTATATTTCAACAGTTGTTGCTTTCTGTACGAATTTTTCTTTATATTTTATTCAGGTGGCATCACTGGTGGGATTGAAATCTGCATCACCTTCCCCACAGAATATGTGAAGACCCAGTTACAGTTGGATGAAAAATCGGGAAAAGCGAAACGTTACAAGGGTCCAATAGATTGTGTTAAGGTCACTGTCAAAGAACATGGATTCCGTGGACTTTACAGAGGACTCAGTGTTCTCTTATATGGTTCCATTCCTAAGTCTGCAGTTCGGTATGTGGTTTTGTTTCATTGTTTGTTTTTTTTTTTTGTGTGTTTTTATATTTATTATTTCACCTCAAGCAAGGTGGGAGTGCCACTAGTACAGAGGGGGGTTACAGAGTGAAAGTAAGAGAAAAGACTGGGGAATGAGGAAAGGATAAAAGACGAACAGGGGTTCAAGACAACAGAAGATTGTTATTTAAGAGGTATATGGTAATGAGTTACTGTTGTTAATCAACATGTTTTTATCAAACTACTATAAGGTGAAAGTATTAATCTGTACATGTGCATTAAATCTACATGAAACTGTATGATATATTTGTGTGTGTATTTTTCCAATATATAATTTCTAAAAAAATAATTTAAAAATATAGGTTTTCACAGCTGAAAGGAAAGTGTGGAAAAGTAGACAAATAATTAGTAGGTTTACAATTTATTTTGCACTATTTACAGGAATTGAGACTGAAGTTACCTTTATTCTTTGATGGAGAAATATCTTTAAAGGACATGGATTTTGTGGACTTTTACCTGAAGGAGAAGTGTCACTACTTTGACTGACTGACTGAATAACTATTTGACCACATGTCACCAGAGATCTCTTCATCATGAAACAAAACTTTGGATATTCACTAGCTGAAAAGAACATGAGCATAAATAAAGTGATTTCTAAAGTAATGGATTTTTTATTTATTAATCTGACAGCCAGTAGATGAAAATAAATATACTGTTTAATAAATGAACTGCACATCTACTCAAATATGGATATCCATTAAAAATAATGTTTCAAGTAAAAAAAAAAATCTGTTGGATTAATAAATAATATAGCCATTACTACTATAGAAATTGCTTTGTTAGAATATGAAATGATGCAGATATTGAACTGTGTGCATGTATATAAAGATAAAATTCAGTCCTCCAAATCTCTGTCTGAAGGCATCTTTTTTGGAAACGGAACCAAAGCTAAAAATTTAGCTTATTTAAATTCCTTAATTTATAGGAAGTTTGGTTCATATATCACCACGGTCAGACATATTATTAATTTGTCTAATTATTGTTTGTCCGAGTCCGATAAGTTGGTCCTGTCCCAGGGTTTGGAATTCTGTATCCCCCCCAGGAATATTGTAAAGGTTCAGTATTCAGTAATTTTGTAATGCTCTTTGATAAGTTAATCAAACACCTGCCAAATTCTGAAGAGAATTTGCTTTGTTTTGAAGCTCTACTGAAAGACTTAGCATACAGCTTTAATTACTCTATTGATTCTTTTGGGTTCCATTGGCAGAGGAACCATTTTCAAGTGGCTAAACAATTAAAAAGAAAGATTTTTATATTATTAAGCCTGACAAAGCTGCAGGTGTCATAATATTAAATTATTCCGACTACGTTAATAAAATGCTATCTATTTTAAATGATAGTAAGTTTTGGAAAATTGGAGATGTCATTTGTGACAATACTATAAAAACTGAAGTTCAATTACAGAAGAGATTGTTGGAACTTCATAAGAGTAAATTTCTATCTAAAGAAATTTATAATAATATTCGTCTCGTAGGTTCCCAATGTCCTTGGATGTATGGGTTCCCGGAAATATGGGGATGGCTATGAAGTCTGTCTCCTTTTGCTTTGACAACTGCATGTATCAACAGATAGATGGAGTAGCAATGGGTAGTCTATTGGGTCCCCTGTTAGCCATCATTTTTGTTGGCTTTCATGAGAAGCAACTCTTTGATAAGATTAATAAGCCTTATTGCTACTTTCATTATGTGGATGACACTTTTACGTCTTTTTCCTCTTTGAGTGAAGCGGAAGAGTTTTTCTCACCTTAATAATCTCCATCCTTCTTTAAAATATACAATGGAGATAGAAGAGAATAATCATCTCCCTTTCTTGGATGTACTGGTAGAAAGAACACTTTTGGGCTTTCTTACCAGTATTTACGATAAACCCACTTTTACTGGGCTTTACTTGGGATTCATTTGCACCCAAATCCAGCAAGGTTAATTAGTACCCTTAATCATCGGGCTTTGATGTTGTGTTCTGAGTGCAGACTTGACACCGAGTTAAAGAAAATTAAACAGCTGTTATTAATGAATGGTTACTCTGAATGTGTTGTGACATCTACCATTGAGCAAAAGATCATTAAGTTCAATGAGATTAAGAAATATGGTCCTTGTAAGTGTCCTGTTTATGTGAGGCTCCCATAGATTGGTCCCAGGAGTCAAACATGCTGACAAAATTTCTAATTCTATTAAATGATGTTTCAATTCCTTTATGGTCTGGAGTATTTTTACAACTAGGAGGGCTCCCCCACCTTGCCTACCAATCAACAAGATTTGGTAATATATCAATATAAATGTCGATTTTGAGATCAACTATGTGGGCAAGACCATCCAGAGGTTGGAGATTAGGATCGCCCAACATGTCCTGGATCAGGTGCGGAGACACAAGCCTGTGACATTCTGGCATTAACAGGCTCATGATTCTGCAATTGGTGAGCACCTTTTAAATTCTGTTGCTTGCAGGATGAATTATTCTCCTGATTTCTTTTATGCCTTGTACAGGGAACAGACGAGACTCCATTTAGACATCTTGGAGTCTTCTTATTAGAAAATTAGTAAAAAAAAAAAATTTTTTCTTTCTCTTGCCTACTTTAGTTGGTTGGTAAAAAAATTTTCTTAACTACTTTGTTTTATATTGCCAACGATCTTGTTTCCCAAGAAGTGTTGGATGAAAGGCACCTCAAATGTTAAATGTGATACTTTTGTATCTATTTTAATAATAAAATTATGATCTTTGTCCTGGTGTGGCAATAATAAAAACCTGTTTTTATATATATATATATATATATATATATATATATATATATATATATATATATATATATATATATATATATGACAAAGATGACTGACAAAAGTACTGCGATTAAGCTTTTATTTATTTATTTTTTTTGTGCTCACGCAAGTGTTTTCTTTTCTGGACACAGTGTAAAAACTGTCCAAAAGACATTAACTACAAACATAGCCACAATGTTCTGACCGTGTTTGAAAAATAAAACATTCCTATAACTTCAGACACATACATAAAATACCCACACATTCAGTTAAAAAATAAGAATTGTCCTTGATAATGGCTAAATGAATAGCCCAAAGCACTCAGATATGCAGAACTTTTGGACAGTTTTTACACACTTTGTATCCAGAAAAGAAAACATTTGTACGAACACATGAAAAATTAAATGAAAAGCTTAATCACAGTATTTTGTCAGTCATCTTTTAACAAAACATGTGTAAAAGGATTGCTGTCCAAATATTCAATTGTCACATATAATAATGTCTGGTTGCTTGTTCCTGAGTATTCTCATCTATTGTGCTCTAGGTATGACGATAAACTACATCTGGCAGCAAGGCTTCTGATTTGGAGATTGGAGGTTTTGAGGAGCATGGGACCACCACTTAATTGCTGTTGTTCCCAGGTCCTCCCTTTACCCGGGATGGTAGCACCTGTTAGGGTCCCAGCTATGGTCAAATAGTGAACCTCCCCCCAAACAAAACCCTATGATAGTATAAAAATATATTTTTATAGTAAAAATACCGACAATACACCAATCAACATGAAAGAACTTTCATAACATTAATCCATATAATATCCTACAATTTCTCAAATCACTGTATTCCAAAATATAACTTTAACTACAACATAAAACACAATATCACTGGCCTCTTGTAATTATGTCCACACCAACATATATATGCACAAAAGCTGAGTATCATGTACCATGTATTTAATTGTGAAAGCAGAATAACATATATTTTTATTACTTCAAAGCTCCCAAGAAAATTAAATTTCAGCATTAAATGACCCATAAGGAGTTGATATACTATTAAACTAACAGATCAAATCATTCTCATTTGTTAGGGTAGCTAGCTCATCCATTACAGATGGTTGCTTGGACACATTTGTTTTTCTTCAATACCTACAAAGTCAGCTTGTGGTTTACACAACTATGCTGAGCGGTTACTTTCTGGGAGAGCGGTTACTTTCTGGCAGAATCAAGTTTGAACCAGGCCAGCACAATCAAACCTCAGTCATGATGATTTGTGACTTTGTGCTAGCATAATCATTGACAATATGAGTGTGTATATTATTCTATAAAACTGCTGTATATTTCATTTTCAATTTATGTTATATAAGAATGTTATATAATCTTTTTCTAAAGAATGTATCCCAGTAGTAAATGCAATGGGCTGGTTTTATGGGTAAGAAACTGAACTGGTGAAGGTTTAAGCTCATACAATGTGATGAGAATGGAGATGTATTTGCAACAAACTGTAATTCCTAAAATTAACCTTGTAAGAACAAACCAATCTTTATAGGCTGATAAATATGCAACATTTTTAACGGATAAAAATTTGCATAACTGTTGAGAAGCTGGCATGCAATTGACTTAAATTTATATTTATAGTTTACAAAATATCTGGAGTAAATAAAATTGGTCAAGTTGCAAAATATTTGCATGTTATCTTGCCTGAATTCTGTGAAAAAATATATGGCATAATGTTCATTGTTGTTTTCAGATGTTATGATTTGGTTTTCTGCCATTTATTCAGGTTTGGGGCTTTTGAAGAATTCAAGAAACGAAATGTTGATGCAAATGGAAACCTGGCACCCAAAAAGCGCTTACTCTGTGGATTAGGTAAGTTCTTTGTTGTTTTTGTTTCTTTAAATTGCGTTGTCTATTATTTTATCTCCCTCTTATGTCTGTTCAAGCAACAGGCAAGGCTACCTTCTTTATATACGGTGAGGTGTCAGGTGATCCAGAATTGAGTGTATCCATTTTTTTTTTTTTTTTTTTTTTTTCTTCTAATCAGGAACAAAAAGAAATTATAAAAGAGATCTCACCCCCCCCTTTTTTTTTCCCCTTCATGTTTCTCTTCAGACAACAAGAGATTGTAGGCTATTTTAGGATTTGAACAGGTGTGAATTATTACATCATACCTGATCCTATTTTAATTTGAAATCTGTTACCTATTTTGAGACGGTCAATGTTTGTTTTTTTTTTTGGGGGGGATAATATGCATTTTTGCAGATGGAATAAAAATCTATTCAAATATAAACGATATTAAATTTGTCTCCTAAAAACAAATGTAACAGATTTTCACCTGAGGATGGCTTATAAAAAAAAAAAAAAAGGTTTAGTTTTCATTGCCTGGTCTGTTCAGTTGGTTCCTTCTCTTGAAGGAACTTAAAAAACAAAAACTGGAGATGCTGAATAATACAAGAAAAGAAATTGCTACAAAAATGAAAGTTTTTTTTTTAAAGTTTATTTTCATAACAAACTTTACAAGATCAAAATGAATGTTTTGTTACATCATTCTTATAAGCGTTCATTTACTAGAAAAAAAATTTGTACTGATATAGAGAATGTATAAGTATGTTTATGGAGTTCTTTGTTTCATCTTTATAAATTCAATATTAAGCAATGATTTTACTCATATAGATGTCTGTCAAAACACACACACACATTATATATATATATATATATATATATATATATATATATATATAGTGAAAAGTGTATATAAATAAATATATATATATATATATATTTATTTATATATTATATGTACTTATTAGAAAGCGCTCAATATCAGAGATAGAGCTAACATATTTGGTTGGATAGCTATCCAACCAAATTCAAGTATAGCATTTATTTTTTTTTTATATATCTTATCAGGATGTCAATTGTATTTCTTATCTCTATATATTCCTGAACACACCCTACAAAAGGGTGTATCAATATGTCTGTAGCCTGATAGTTGAATTTTATCTTAAATTTTCACTGTAAAATTTTTGATTTGTGTTATGTTCAACATTGAATTAAATATGTAGACAAGGAGACTGCTGAGAAAAAAATGGAGTTAAATAAAAGCTTATATTTGTTTTAGTTTCTTGTTTTTGTGCTTTTGTTTGTCTTTGTTTTTATGTTTTATTGTTTTGTTTCTGTTTTTGTGGGTTTTTTGTTTGTTTTTTGCTTTGCTTATTGTTGTTTTGTTTATTTTTCTCTTTGTTTTTATTTTTCTCTCTCTTTGTTTTTATTTTTCTCTCTCTTTGTTTTTTTTTTCTCTCTCTTTGTTTTTATTTTTCTCTCTTTTTTTATTTTCTCTCTTTTCTTTGTTTTTATTTTTCTCTCTCTTTGTTTTATTTTTTCTCTTTTGTTTTATTTTTTCTCTCTTTTTTTATTTTTCTCTCTTTTTGTTTTATTTTTCTCTCTCTTTGTTTTATTTTCTCTCTCTTTGTTTTTATTTTTTCTCTCTCTTTTTTTTTTTTTTTCTCTCTTTGTTTTATTTTTTTCTCTCTTTGTTTTTATTTTCTCTCTGTTTTTATTTTTCTCTCTTTGTTTTTATTTTTCTCTCTTGTTTTTTTTTTCTCTCTTTGTTTTTATTTTTCTCTCTCTTTGTTTTTATTTTCTCTCTCTTTGTTTTATTTTTCTCTCTCTTTTTTTATTTTTCTCTCTTTGTTTTTATTTTTCTCTCTCTTTTTTTTTTTCTCTCTCTTTGTTTTTATTTTTCTCTCTCTTTGTTTTTATTTTTCTCTCTCTTTGTTTTTATTTTTCTCTCTCTTTGTTTTTATTTTTCTCTCTCTTTGTTTTTATTTTTCTCTCTCTTTGTTTTTATTTTTCTCTCTCTTTGTTTTTATTTTTCTCTCTCTTTGTTTTTCATTTGGCTACAGACTTATTGATGTGTGTGCATATATATCCATGCCTATACACATATATTTATTTACTTTATATGACTTGATGATGTTCTTTTCAGTCCTTTAGAACTGCTGTTATTGTCTGCATCTTGGATGCAACCATCTACAGGTAATCTTATTATGAACATTCCAGTTCACAGCATGGATTTTTTTGTGATCCCATCTTGCCAATTCTCTTTTCCTTAGATCCAACTTAACCTCTTTCAAATGTTCTTACCTTCAGCTTGATATATGCACTTACAGGATTTGTTGCATCTGACAGAAAATCAGCAACTTTGTACGCCAACCCTGCCCTTGACCTTTATACAACCATGAAGTAGACATTTATTTTTTTCATAGCACAAACACATTATTTTAAAAGAATATTCTCACAGCATACATAATGCAAGTTATATTTTTATAAATGTCTTTTTTGAGACAGTCACTCTGAAAGTTACTTTAAATGCTCTTCATTCTTATATTTTCAAAATTTAGAAAAATGAAAACTTGCTTTTGCTGTATTTGTATAGACTGAAGTTTTCAAGTTCATACTTTTTTTTTTTTTTTTTTTTTTTTTTTGTAAAATATGAAAACAGCTGACTATAATTTCAGGCTGTCCTTTCTTTTTAAAAACTTTTTTTTTTTTTTGCTCTATTTTGCTGATTAACTTTTAGCTCACAATGTGTCCTGAAACCAGAACTTTGTTTTCAATTTTTCTCATACAGTTACTTCAGAGAATAAAATATTACAAATTTTACTATTTTTTTTTTTTTTTTTTTTTTTTTTTTTTTTTTAGATAAGTTTTATAAAGCAAACCATTTTTGGTTCTTTTATTCAGAAAGGATAAAAATATTTGAGTTTTTGGACAGTAAACTTACATTTCTTGAAAAAAGTTAAATTTTAATTGGCTTATATTGTGGCAAAAAGTAAGTAAGCAAGCTAGACTAATCCCAACTTGAACTAAAACATTTGCTACAATTATTTTTGTGATTTTATTATTCAATGATATTGTTTTGAATAACTGACTAATTGTATACTAAGGAAAGATGATGTGTGTGACCATTTTATACATTCTGGGCATAAAAATGTTCCTTTTAGTCATAAGAATTTCTGTCCTTAATAAAATTAACCATTTTCTCCTGATATGTTGTCACTAATTACTATATATAACACCCTGAAGATGATCTTGGAAGAAGATCGAAAGTACTTGGAAAATGGGAAATAAAAATGATTTAAACAGTTATAGCAAATTTCTCGCATCATTTAATATCAATACATAGAAGGTTATTCATGAGTATGAATGGAATTTGTTACAAATTAGCAGACATAATATCTGTAATTTTATTTAATCAGGCATGCCTTATATATAATCTGCTTATTTTGTTTTTGTCTGAATTTTGAAGGTGAGGAATGATTCTTATTGCACACTGATTTGTTCAGACTAACATCCTCAGCATTTTGACCATTATTCTCTCTGGATTTCTTCAAAAAGACAAAAGATCAGAGGGTACAGCAGCTGGATCATTTATTGCAAGATGAGGATATTAATCCAAATAAATCAGTTTATAGTGTATTTTGTTCTTTATTTATATTTTTTGTTTTACAGTAAATCCCAAGAAGTATTTATCTCTCCTTGTATATATGATATGAAATATAAATATATATATATATATATATATATATATAATTCTTATATTCAAGTTAATAGCCTGTACCATATGTTAATCGGAAGATATTCTATTGACAGATATGAGAACAAAATAACATCAACTAGATTTATCATTGTGAACTGAGTCATGGCTTACAATCTCAACATGGTTCTCATCTGATCACTAAAGTTAAGCAATATCAAGCCTGATCAGTATTCAGATGGGTGTTTGCTAGTCTGTGGTCTTGTGCTAGACAAAGCTTAGTAAATAAAGAGAATATTGTTAGGAAGATAAGTCAGTAATCATTGTGAACCACATCAATTTCCAACTGACATTTCAATAGAATTCAACTCCTGATTTTGGCATAATGTAAAATAATTCAAAATGTTTTATTTAAAAAAAAAAAAAAAAACTTCTATGATATAAGACAAAATATGACTTTATCAATCACACAGCCTGATCACTTCTGTTTAATGAGATATTCCGTTGTTATGGTAACAGGAGGCATTATCCAATGCAAGTAATTGAACATGACAGAATATTTCATTACAAGTCAGAGAGCTCAGACTACTAATTGCTTTTAATTTCTTTTGTTTCATGATATATATGTAAAGAATTAATGGATTTATTTTTAATCCAACATTTTTATTACTTCAAACAGTTATTATAGTGGATACTGTATTTGATTATGTGTAGAAAGATTCTTAAGAATTTCATTAACAGCCATAATGTTCTTTGGATAATTGAATCCATTTTTCATAGCATGATGCTTTGTTGTGTTAGCAACATCAGCTATAATGTGCGACTTATGGAGGTTGTAAGCAATTAAGGCTACCTCTTCTTCCTGCCGGGCTTCGTGGTCAATGCCACTGCTTACATTGAGGCCCTGAATCAAGAGAGTGGATCAGAAGAGGTTCAATGAAAAATGGGTAGATTATAATTTTGTTCGATGCAAACGGAACTGCAAATGTGCAGAACCTGTGGTTAGTGGCCTTGCATACAATGAAGGTGGATTGCAGAAGGATAATTCACTTTGAACTTCTTCCAGCCGGCAAAGCAATAACTGCAAAAGAAGTATTGCAACCAACTCGCCAATCTCAATTCAGAAAAAATGGCTGATTTTGGCAAATTGAGAAGTTGTCATTTTTCCACCGAAACAATGCAAGACAACATGTTGCAAAACAGATCATGCAGAAGCTTAGAATTGAAATGGGAAACTCTCAGTACCAACCATATTCTCCTAACTTGGTTCCTTCAGATTCTCTTTTGTTCTGGTCTCTACCGAACATATGACAAATTTAAATGACTGTACATTTAGTCGAAAACTACCTCACAACCTTCTTCCAACAAAAAACACAGTTTCTATGAAAATTGCAGCAGCAAACTTGTAGAATGATGGAGACAGTTGATAAGAATTTTTTTTTCTCTATTTTCTCTTTTTCTTTTTTCTTTTCTTTTCTCTTTTTTTCTTTTTTCTTTTTTTTTTTTTTTTTTTTTTTTTTTTTTTTTTTTTTTTTTCTCTTTTCTTTTTTTTTTTTTTTTTTTTTTTTTTTTTTTTTCTCTTTTTTCTTTTTTTTTTTTTCTTTTTTTTTTTTTTTTTTTTTTTTTTTTTTTCTTTTTTTTTTTTTTTTTTTTCTTTTTCTTTTTTTTTTTTTTTTTTTTTTTTTTTTCTTTTTCTTTCTTTCTTTTTTTTTTTTTTTTTTTTTTTTTCTTTTTTTTTTTTCTTTTTTTTTTTCTTTTTTTTTTTTTTTTTTTCTTTTTTTTTTTCTTTTTTTTTTTTTTTTTTTTTTTTTTCTTTTTTTTTTTTTCTTTTGCATATGTAAAATTTTATTTTCAAATTTCAAATTGGGCAAAACTTTTGCTATGATATATAAATTTTATTTATTAAAAAATTATAGCATATGTTATAAAATCACTACAAAAATAGCCATTTTGTTTCAACACTTCTGGTGTCTTCTCAAGTGATGGTGTTAAATGTAGAATAAAGAGTTTTAAAAGTTTTTATATATATATATATATATATATATATATATATATATATATATATATTTATCTCTTTTATATATTTCAACCCAAGCAAGGCAACAAAGTCACTAACACACTTGAGGTTACTGAGTGAAAAACATTATTAAGGAGCATACAATAATAAAAGAACAGAAATCTATACAAGTCTATACAAAATTTAGACAAAACAAAAAAATATATCTAAAGTAATGCCTTGAAATACAAGTTTAAGTCATTCCAACACCAAGATTGTAACACAAAAGACTTGTATCTCAAATCACTTTTCCCATTAAAATTGATGGGAATATTTCCGATCTGTTCCAGGCCCCTAAAAATTCACCACTGCTTTTTTACACTTACTTTCTTTGGATCCATGGTGTCACTAAAGGAATTTAGCAAAATAATGGCAAAAAAGACAACACAACAAAACTGAGATCCTTCCAGAGCAGATGTGAACATGTATACTGCGGATTCTTAACTGAAACTTGTTTACATCTCAAAATTCAACTCCTACCTCAGCCAAACTCCAGCTTGTATCTCTAAAAAAAAACTTGTATGTCAGAATACGCTTATCTCAAAGTATTACTGTATTATGTAAATTGCAAATTTTGTTTCTCATGGTTACAGTGGGTTTTTTTTTATATCCCTTCCTTTACTAGATATTTTGTGGAAAGGAAATCTTTGAGGTAATTCTGTTTCAAAAGTCATCACTGCAATTCAACTGAAATATTTTCAATGGCAGTTTAATCAACCGCGCCCATTGTAATAAAAGATACATCCTGGCAATCTTCCACAATACCCAAAAGAAACTATCTATTTTTTCCTGCCACGTCATAAAATACTTTTATATATTGGGCTTGCTATTTTAAATATAAAAACTTGATTTGTTTTTCATTTTAATTATGAATCAATAGCAAATCCTGAAATATTTATTACCTTATATGACAGTGCTTTTAGCCACTGCTATGTTTGTCAGTGAGTATATAAATTATATTATATATTAAAAAAAAAATATTGGAATTTCTAAAGAATAAATGGATTTATTTTTTATCTGACAATTTATTATTTCAAATGTTATAGTGGATACTCATATTTGAAATGTTGGATGCAGGTTTGATCCCTGCCAGAGAGCACAATTTTTCTATTATGATTTTTCAAATGCACAGACTGATAAATGTAATACGCACTGCTTAAAATAAAAATGAGATGTGTATCAAATATAACAACATTTGAAGTAGTAATAATATTGAGTAATTTTGTGTTTTCAAGACTTTGAAATTAGAACAATTTCACTCTTTCTTCCCCACCCTTAATGTTTTTTATTTTCTTTCTAATTACAGCCTCACTAATTACCTTTTATACTTTATTTTGTATCTCAAAAATTTCTACATCAGTAATGTCTGGATTTCAAATGCCAGTTTCCAAAGCATAAGCTTAACTTAGTACAAGTGCAGTGAGATAAGATCAAATGATAACAGGATATGGTTGGGAGGAAGGCTTCTGATTGGTTGTTTGGTGGAAGGCAAACTGAATGTACTGGGGTGTATCTCTCTTCCTGGATGACTTTTTTTTTTATGCTATGCCCTTTCAGGATGTAGGTGATCATGGCTCTCCACAAATTCCTTTTACTACACCTTTTTAGGAAAGATAAAGCAGTGATTCCTCATTGCCTTCTACACAGCTTAGGATTTCAGAAGTTTCACTCTTAGACTGGTTGCCAACCAAGGCTACAGATCTATCTACCTCCCACTGTTTAACCCCTAACTGAAGGAAGAAGAAATGGATGCTTTTCCCAAGGGCATTTATGCAAAAGTGAATGCAATAGACTGTCGGATTTTGATCTTTGCATGAAGGACAATTGATAAATTCTAATTTTTTGAACAGCAAATACCTCTTATAATAATGTTAATACACTTGTGTCTATAAAGAAGGAGCCTTTTGTTGTGATCAATTTGGGACAAGGTCTTTTGGATAACAATTACCTCTTATGATAATGTGTTAATACATTTATGCATTATTGTAAATGTGTTTATGTAAATAACCTGCTGATAATATTAAGCAAATGATATAAAAATTAGAACAGTTTACATTTATTCATACAATTTGACATAAAAATTAATGCAAAATACATTGAATATTTGACTTCCTAGAAGATTTTAAGACAGATTTTAATAAATGAAGTACATTATTTGCCCTTACAATAAACGGCTTCCTCTGAATCTAAAGTAAAATAAACATACTTACAATCACAAAGATACAATTAAAAATTCTAGGACACATGATGAGGAAAGAAAATTTAGAAAATTTGACACTCACAGGATATTGATGTCAAGAGGAAAATAGTAAATTAATGAGCTTGTGTAAATGAATAGCAGAACAGTGGGTGGAAGAGATAGTAAAAAGATAAACATTACTGAGAGGTACAATGGATAAGTTGTGGAGAGCTTTAATCACATGTTCTGAAGAGATAGTGAATGTAAAAGTGATGTAAGAAAAAAAATGAGTTAAAGTCTGAACAGCTCTTGTAAATTTCTGTCTGAATTTTTAGATGATGAATTCACATTATTTGCAGCCATACTAATATCCTCATCTTTGTTATTATCACAATGTTTCAGCCATTGTTCCCTCCAGACTTCTTCAGGTGACTGTCAATCTGGGTAATCTTGAGCTTAGTGTTAGTTTGCGAATTTTGGTGGCATAGTAATTGTGAGTTCAATTCCAGGGCTGGATAGTACAGACTCCAACTCTATGGAAATGGGATTAGCAATAACTAAACGGTGCCAAAAAGAAGGTGAGATATCCCTAGATATGGACAGTGGAACAAGAACAATCTATCCCTGTCATTTAAATAAAGGTTCAGTTTGAAATTTCCTGAAAGTTATCCAAATTTACAGGCACCTGACAAAGGCTTAGAGCACAATGGCCATGTATTATCCCAGGCTGTTCAGATGAACAAAAAAAAAAACAAAAAAAAAAAACGAATGAAAATAAGACAAGTGTATTTTAACACATAATAAATCAACATTTATTCATTTACTGTCTGAGAACAGCAAGGAAATTTTTGAATTGAAACCATAAATTCCACGAGCATGTCAACCTCTTCTTGTGTTCAATTCAAAAGTGCCACTCCTCTTCAAAGACAATGAAAGTGACTCATTTGCATTTTGAGTTATTTTCCTTTATAGGAGAAGGAAACATAGCTTCCCCTAACAGGCCAAAATGTGATAACAAAAATTAGTTTATAATCAGGCTAATATCCTATGTTAACAAGGATAAAAGGAGACGTACAAAACACATTAAGAACAAATTTATATTTATGAACATGACAATGTTGATATTTTTTTTTGCATTCAAATTTATTCTGAAAAGAGTTTAACCAATGAGAAGCTTCTGTAAAGTCACATGACACTTGCTGTCATACTCTGTGATGATTCTGTCTTCTTCTTGCTGCTGTCTAACTGCTGCGTGTGTGCAAATTTTCATTTACATCTTTCTCTAACATCAAATGTTTTTTTTGCTGTTCTGTGTGGTCATTAACATTGGCTGAATAAAATACTTTAACCTTTCATTGCATGTTTTTGACAATCCCAGTCATTTCCTGCAAAGTATTTCTTACATCTGCAGCTGTTTGGGACTTTTCTCTTGATCATATTCATTGGTATTTTTAAAACATTTTTATTGTGTGAAGTATGTGTCTGTGTGTATACACAAAACTGATGATGCTTACGGCCACATCACATTGAAACACTGGTTTCCATATGATTACCAAAGCTAAGCAACATTGTTCCTGGTTTTTACCTAGATGGGTGACCGCCTTGGAATACTAGGTGTTGTAAGCTTGGCTCTGCAGATGGTATAATGGATAATGGCTTGGAATTGTTAATCAGAGAGCAGAGTTCCAATTCCAGTTGGATTCATTATATTCACTTGGGAAAGCTATGAATCTACTTCTCCCCCAGCTATGTATTAATTAGTAAGACTTGTATCACTAAATCATTATCTGAAAAAAAAAATTCTTACAATCTAAAAATATTTTCTGACTTTAAATAACCTACAAAGGATTAAGTTTTAGAAAATGAAACTGATGAGCTCTTTTCTATTGTAGCTAGACTTTATGAATTTAAGTGCAGTACTAGATTGGCAACAAGGTCTCATCATTATTTACATTATTCGGACTATTGTCCTCATCTGTGTCGCCATATTTATTACAGTGTTGTGGCAGCTGTACGCTCCCGTTCTTCTTCAGGTGGTTGGAATGTCGAACTAAACCCTTTATTTCGCTCACTGGGGTAGACTGTTCTAGTTCCACATGCCATGTTTAATGGATGTCAGTTATCAATTATCTCCTGTTAATTTTCCCTCTGAAAGTTCTCGACTACCTTAACCGGGTATTGAACTCACACTCTTTGGGTCCTGTCACTGGATCTAATCAATGCCTTTATCCACTGTGTCCTTGACATTCCAACCACCTGAAGAAGGCCAGAGCGTACAACGACTCAAACGTAATAAATATGGCGACAAAGATGAGGGCAATAGTCCGAATAATGTACATAATACCTCATCTCAGAAATATAGACAGATATTGGTCTCATCAATTTATGGTTGAATTGACTAGATGTAACCATAAGTTCTGTGCTAATAGTTTCTTTACTCACACTTCTCGCTTGTGGAACTCTCTTCTGGTTTCTTGCTTTCCAGACAACTTCAGTTTTCAAAGTTAAATGCAATGTCAATTGTTATCAACTGTTCTCCTGGTTACACTTCTATTGTTATCACTCCTTATTAATGTTTCTGTTTTTTAATTCTTTCACACCCAGTAACCCATTGTGTCTTAGTGGCTTTACTGCCTTCCATAGGATGAATTCAACTAAAAAAAAAAAAAATAAAAACTAATGATCCAACATCTCTTCTCAAAGTACAGGTATTCCTTGACTATTGAAAGGTTACCTTGTATCATTTTGTTTGCTTTTTTTAAAAAGACCAACATTAGTCATGGTAGGTGTTCAGACAAATTGCGTTCCTTGGTTCCATCATCTCAAGTGTTTACAGCTTGGCCTTGTCATACCACATACAATGAGTTGACTCCTACTAATTTCTCAGGCAGTTTCTTCCCCAGAACTGTCTCAGTGTGGAACAGTTTCTTAAGGAGATGCTTTCTGGATCACTACAATCTTAACTAAAGTTGAGGGTCAACTGTTATCTATTTTACATCTATCTTCATAATATGCAACCCTAGTTCTCTCTAAATATGCCCTTAAAACATCTTCATTCTGTAACCCTCTACCTTGAGTGGTTCTTGGGCCTTGTATTGGATGAACAATAAAAAAAAAAGTATTGGTTATCCCTACTATCAAAGAATGGCATAGTGTGAAAAAACAATCCTATTAGAATTCTGCTTGTTAGTGTTTCTTCTGCCATTACCTCAGATAAATAATGATTTTGATTGCAAAGAAAAGACTGAAGAAAAAGATATCAGATGTACTTTTGTTTAAGGTAAAGAAATAAAGATAAAGGAAACGATAAAGGTCAATGTATTTAAGGTCTGAAAAATGACACTGTTGTCAATTTTTAACCTTTTAATTTGTACCCTCTTAATTCTTTAAATAATGACCTGCATTCATACTTATAACTGTTCTTGCAATATTTTAAGTTTAATTATTTAATAATGCAATAAAGGGTTTTTCAATGAGTATTTTAGACATAGAACTTTCAAGGCATTCATTCAATCAGAAGTTGGAAATTGATTCTTCAGAAAATTCAATGACATTTTCACAGGTACTATTAGTTAGCATTAATTTATATAAGTGGTGTTTCCAGACACAAGAAGGTAATTTAGTTATTTGCTGTAGCTGATGTGGAAGGCTTGTTTTTTGGTAGGCAAGCTAGGACAAATAACAATAAAATCAATATATTAAATGTTTAACTACCAAATATGGGATGTATAAGTGGTATTATGGATAACAGCTTGTAATAAGAAATTAGAGAACCAACTTCAAATTCCAGTTGGGTTTGTTACATTCACTCATGCAAAAATAACCTTGTGAAATGTATGAATCTAATCTCTTCTCTTCCCAGCTATGGGTTAAATAGTTGATATTGTATCTGGAAAAGTAATTTAATCTAAAAAAAAAAATTAATACAATATAATAAAAAAAAATTCTTACAATCCAAAATGTTTTGACTTTAAAATAAACCACAAAGGGTGGATAAGCTGTGGTTTTTTTTTTTTTTTTTTTTTTTTTTTTTTTAATCTAAATCCAAATCCCAACTATTGTTATCATTTAACTTTATTTTTAAATCACTGTTGGTTTGCTTACAGTGAAATAACACTGAAAACACCAGTTTTCATTCAATTACTGAAAATCTTGATGCAAATAATATCCCATCCCACTGTCAGTCAAAGAGTTAAGTTACTTTGAAAAAATTGTAATTTTTTTTTTTTATCAATTCACCTCCAAGCAAGGCAGTAATGCCACTAAGATGCAAGAGGTAACTGGTGACAAATGACAGAGGAGAAGGAAAAGACATTAGAAGATCCTGGGAACCCAATAATAGTATAAATTTCAGTTTAAGCAGAAACAGAAGTGCAGAGTTGAAGTAGAATTTAGAAAGAACTGGAAAACAAGGGATAAACCTCTACTCCTGTTCAAAAGACTGGGAGGTGTGAACCAGATGATAAGCAAACCTATCTGCACCTGTAATAAATATATTAAATTTAAGAATGTAAAGAGATATATTTATTTATTTATTCAACCTTAGTTTAGCATAGAGCGACAGGAGGCAGTGGTCAGAAGAATGCATTGTGCTAATTTTCCAAGAAGGAAGAGCCAGCCTTGAAAATCTGAACTAAAAATAATTTGGATTTGAATACTGACACATGTGGTGGGAATATACAATTATGTCAACCAATTTTATATATATATAAAAGTGAACATAATCAACATATATATATTATAGCATGAAATATGCAATCGTCAGGCCTGGTATATAAACATGTTATCTTTTATATTTACACACGCCTATCTCTGATATTGAGCACTTTATCCCATAAATATAGCACTCCTTAAGACTATATTTCTTTTTATATATATATATATATATATATATGATCCATTGGTAAAGATGCAGGGAAAATGATCAGCTTTTTATACCAGTCCAGATAGCCCCTGACTTGATCTGCTACGCTTTCTTTGCCAAACTAGATCAGACCAAAAATGAAGTATTGTTGTTGTATCTGGGCTTGAGCTACCCAATCCTCACTAGACAAAGTTCAAAAGCATTTATGCGATTGTAGGCAATGGATTATTTTCAACCCTTTAGCTGCTTTCTCACAGACAAAATGTCACAAGCCTACCATTGTTTTGTCGCCATTTCCATGACAAATGTACAGACAAGCTACACTTAGTTACACTAGTTCAGACCTTTACAGCTAAGATGTGCCATGCCATGTATATGGACTTAAACCATCCTCATTTTCTTCATATTTCATTTGTAAGTTCCACTCGGCTTCTTCCAAACAAATGCTACTCTCAAAAACTCCCAAGATGATGCTTTTCTGATCAGTACAAACTTTATCTCTTCAAGTCTAGGGTCAGTCATCATATATCCTCATGATCTCCACTTATTTCCTACTCCTATGTTCATAGAACAACCCCATTTGGTAACTCACAAACTTGAGTGGCCATGTATTAGATGAACATTTAGTTAAAGAAAAAAAAGAGTTAAAATAATAGATAAAAGAAATTTGAAAGCTACTATGGTTAATTAAAGGGAGTTTTGTTACAATCTTTGTATATTCAAAAGAAACCCTTCAAGGTGTTTTTTTTCCTCTTCCTCTGTTTATCTACTTGTCTCTTTTCAAATGATTCTGTCTCATTTTATGGTTTTCTTTCCTTCATTTTCAGAGTACTCATCAGAAATCTTCTTTCTATCACATTCCTTCACCACAATCTCACTTCTGCCCTATTTTTATCTTTTAATTGAAACATTGCTGCTTGTTTCATGACATTGAAATAAGTCAATATTGATTTTCAGTTCTTGCTTTATTCCCCCAACTTTATTTCATATTATCAACACAGAATCCTAGCTGTCATATTTGCTCATCTGTTTCTTTTCCTTACACTCTCATTTCTTTCTCTCCAAACTTTAGTTTTTCTTTATCCCTCTTTATTCTGTGGCTTTTTTATACCTATCTTTTGATGGTTCTGGATGCTCTCTTTTTATCCTTCTTTCCCTACCCTCTCTCTCTCTCCTTTTCTCTCTCTCTCTCTCCTCTCTCTCTCTCTCTCTCCCCTTTCTCTCTCTCTCCCTTTTTTCTCTCTCTCTCTCCTTTTCTCTCTCTCTCTCTCTCCCCTTTTTTCTCTCTCTCTCTCTCCCCTTTTTTCTCTCTCTCTCTCTCCCCTTTTTTCTCTCTCTCTCTCTCTCTCTCTCTCTCCCTTTTTCTCTCTCTCTCTCCCCCTTTTCTCTCTCTCTCCCCTTTTCTCTCTCTCTCCCCTTTCTCTCTCTCTCTCTCTCTCTCTAATCTGAACCTTTTCTTTTATGTCTTCTTTGTTTTCCTTCTTTCATCAACTCCTTACTTCTCTCTTGCTGTTATTTTTAGTTTCAGTCAATTTTGAAATGTTTAATCTACAGGTTTCTGAACGTTTTTAAAGGGAAAGTCATTTGCTGATCCTCTTGCAAGACAAACACTTGTATGATTTTACCAGCCCCACTATTTTTTCTTCTTTCTCACTCTTTCCCTACTTCTCATGTTTTTTTCTCTGTTTTTTAACACTAAAGTAGCATAATTGACACAATTTTTTTTTTGTTCTAGTTCAATTTACTTTTAATCTAACCTCAAAATATCATCAAGGTCATTTGTGGTTATTTTGTCAGGCAGAATTAAGGGACTTGAGTTTTTGCTAACTTCATAGGTATTTATAAGCTGACTTCATTTTTATATGAAGTATAATTTGGCTATTAATTTATGAAGATAAAGTTAAGGGCTCACTTCTTTATTAAAGAATATTCCATATTGTTACATTTTTGTTTTAACTTAAACAAAAAAAAAAAAAAAAAAATTTCAAATTCAGTTTTATTTATAACTGCAAACTCCTTGTCGGGGTATAGTTTGGAACCACCAGGGGATGCAGCTTCAATTTTAATAGATTTTTGTTTTAAAATCACTCTCTATTTCACAAGGCCAGTTTGCTCTCTCAGCATCTTGGATGTTTTGACTTTACAACTATCATGATATTTGTATATAAATAAGGAGATCAGTAGATCCATGCCTTTTCCTAAAGGCATTAGTGCAAAGGTAAATATAAACTGTTCCAACCAGAGTTTAAACTGGATTCAAGGATTTCATTTTTTTTTTTTTTTTTTTTTTTTTTTTTTTTATGCAGTTAATTAAGCTACCTGCAAGTTTTTTTGCACATTGTTACATGAGATGACATTGTTTTCTTCCGAAAAAAAAAAACATTCTGGTATCATTTTTGGTATTTTCATAAATAAAATCAACTCCAAAGCACAGGATGGATGTGAAAAAAAAATGTATTTACCTGTAAACAATATCCATAAATAAAGATTGCTTAATTGTCAAATAATTTTTTATTTACTGTACTTGATGACCCGTACTTTGTTTTTTGTTTTGTTTTTTTTTGTTTTTAATAAAAAATAAGGGTTGAAAAAAATCTTATATACAAAGATCAGGTTGTTGCAGATTTGAATCAGCCTACAATAATGAAATAGGTTTTTAAATATAAAAATATAAGATTTTTATTTTTATGTTTTTACAAAAAGCTTTCTTAGCATGTATGAGTGTTAAATTCTTTGAAGTTGTTTTCCAAGATGGAAAGAAATGTGATTTCTTCATGTGTATGTGTGAGAAAGAAGAGTCAAGGAGGAAAGTGTAAATGTCCCATAGCTTAGGGAGGAAGACTAGTGTATGAGTAAGAGAATTTCTTTTAAATTGAGCATTGTGACCTATTATCATCATTGCCATCTGCAGCTGTGGTCTTTTCTTACTGTCTTGTCTGTTCAGAAACTTTGGTTTCAGTGCCAATTCTTCCTCCATTTTTTTTCCTTTACCCATTGGAAGTTCATGGTAGAGGCTACAAATTTAAATATTAATTTGACATAAAACCAAGTTTTGAATAAATTAGAGCATTCTTCTATAAAGGAAGTGCAAAGTTTGAAACTGTTTATTTTTCTTAAAAAAAAAAAAAAAAAAAAAGGAAAGAAAATTTCATTAAAACAAAGATAGTAGTACTGAACTACTCTAGCAATGAATGTTGGATAATTTCCTTACAGAATAAGGAAATAGGACTTGGAAAATTTGGCATTCACATGACAAGAGGGGCAATTAGCTTCCCTAAAGAGAAATGGTTGGCAGAATATGAAGAGTGAGGAATAATAATGCAACAGACATCGCTTTGTACTACAAGGCATAGGAAGTCGTGGAGTCATAATCTTGAAGGGACACGGCAAATAAAAGAAATTCTGTTTTGAAGACAATACGAATAAAATATAAATTTTAAAACTGGCTAAACTTTTCTGTTAATTAATCAAATATTAAAAATGACAAGTGTTTTTCAGTTATTTTCAAACATTATTTGAAAATTACTTTAAATAATAAAAGTAATTGGAAATTTGTTTAGTTTTTAATTTTCATAGAAAATAATCTAGATCAGGGATGGGGAAATTATGGCCTGCTGGCCATATCCAGCCCAGCAAGGCTTTTAATGTGGCCCTCTATTTTATTATATTTACAGATTTAATAAAAAAAAAAAAATTAAAAAAAAAAACTTTCTGGGTATTTAAAAATTGTATAAAAACTTCTTGGAAGAAACATTTGTAATAATTCGCTTTGATTTGAATCTTAGCTTAAGTATCATTTTGCAGGATATTTGTAATTGAGATTTAGTGAGTCATCATTTTGCAGTGTTTTTAAAATTTTATTCTATTTTTTAGTAAGTTAGATTCTAAAACAATGAAAAAGCAGTCAACTATAATGAGTTCTAAGAGACGTAAAGTTAACTTTAAATGCCATATTTTAAAGAAGGAATCGACTGGAAAGTATTTCTTCATAGAAAATGGTACAAAAGCTGTGTGCCTGATTTTCCATGATACTTGTGAAGTATTCAAGGAATACATGAAAAGACATTTTCAATCAAAACATGACAACTTTAGCCAAAACTTTTCCACACAAGAACTGCAAAACAAAGCAATGGACATGGTTAAAAAAACTGAAACACCAGCAAGGCATACTTTTTAAATGTACATCTACACAAGAGCTTGCAATAAAGGCTAGGTTTATATTGGCAAATAAGATTGCAAAACATAAGCCATTTTCTGATGCAGAATTTGTGAAAGAATGTATGATTTGATGCAATTGATACTGTTCAGAAGTAAAGTCAAAAGTAAAAACAATTTCATTGTCACGGAGAACTATTGTTTGTAGAATAGATACCATTGTTGAAACCTTTTGGATACTGCAGATAAATTCAAGTGGTTCTCAATTGCTTTAGATGAGAACACAGATATAGTAGTTACTGTACAGTTGATGATTTTCATTCACTGTATTGATGAAAATTTCAATATCACAGAAGAACTGTTGTCAATGGATAGTCTCAAAGACACTACTACCGGGAATGATTTGTATGAAAGTCTTATGTATTGTTTGGAAATTTCGCAGTTATACCTTGATAAATTTGTGAGCATAACTGATGGGGCACCTGCACTAACTGGGACACATTGTGGACTTGTCAGACAGCTAAATGACAAGATTCAGTCAAACTTCTCATTTCGCAAATAGCTTTCATTTCAATGCATAATTCACCAAAAAAGGCTTTGCAAAGCAAAATTGGATATTAAACATGTGATAAGATCAAGGGGACTAAACCACAGTCTCAAAATTTGTTGCAAGAAATGGAGTCTGATTTTTCTGATGTGTTGTCTTGCACTAATATAAGGTGGCTAAGTCTTGAAAAAGTTCTGAAAATAGTATGGGACCTCAAAGAAGAGATTTTCATGTTTTTTGAAATAAAGGGTGTGGCTTGTGACTTCTCCACCAAAATAAAGGTGTGATTTTTGCATTTGCTACAGATACCATGCAAAAAATGAATGAGCTCAACACAAAACTTCAAGGTAAAGGTGTCTTTGCTCATGATTTATTTGTGGAGGTAAAATCCTTTCAGGCAAAGCTTACACTTTACTAAACAACTGTCTGATCAAAACTTTGCTCACTCCCCCCCCCCTTCTGAAAGATCAGCCTGTTGAATATATATCTATATAAAAATACAGTGGACAGATCACAACCTTGAAGGAAAAATTTGCTAAGGGTTTTGCAGATTTTCAAAGCAATGGAGCTAGGGTTCAACATGCTGAGGTCTCCATTCACCTCTGACATTGAAACTGCAGCTAATGAACTACAAATGAACGTAATAGACCTCCAAGCTGACAATGCTTTGAAGTATAACTTTGAAAACAAATCTTTTAATTGAATTTTATGCATCTCTTTACCCAAAGCATTTCAAAAATTTGAAAGACTTTTCAAGAAAATTGTTTGTTCAGTTTGCATCCACTTGTATATGTGAGCAAACTTTATCAAGTGTGAAAATTATCAAAAGCAAAAATAGATCTCCTTTGTCAAATTCAAGCAGTATTAAGAATTAGCATAAGCAGCTTGGAGCTAGATATAAGCAAACTAGTCAATGACTGGAGTCGACTACATCAATCTCATTAATTATACACCTATTGTTCTTAAATTATATTTTTCTTGCATTTTGTCAATTATTTATGCTGTAATACAATTTTTACATTATAGTGAATTGTAATTAAACTTTAAAACTAGCAAGATGTTTTAATAAATTAACTGATCATGAAAACTTTTCACTGTTTGATGCTGTTACATTTTTCAATATACAGTCTTCAAAAGCATCTTGCCCAGTAGCCATGTCCATAATAATATCAAATTTTACAAACCTGGTGAAAAAGTTAATGTTGATGCCTATTACAAGACTCTGAGGTACAATGTATTAACATGGCTCAAAGCCAACTACTCAGGGAAACAATGTACAGACTCATGATGGTGCTTCTGCAAATCCAATTTTGCCAATCTTTGGCCATCACACTTCTGGCTCTCTTCCAGCCCAGATCTCAAGCCTCTAGATTATGCTGTTTGGAGCATCTTAAAACATGCTACTAATAGAAGTTGTAGAAGTTTTTTTTTTTGGGGGGGGGCTATAATTGAGAAACAAGGAGGACATATCAAATAAAATTTTTCATTTTGTATTTGTATGTTGGAACCATTCATGTTTCCCTAGATAAACTAATTAATCAACTATAAGGCTTTTTGTCTCAATACCAAAATTATGCAACTTTTGCCTTTCCACTATTTTATATATATATATATATATATATATATATATATATATATATATATATATGGCAGTGTCTGACCGAGTATTGTTCAAAGGCATTACTATATTGTATCTGATTTACAAAGCCTCACCTACAAATTGGCATTATAAAACAGAAAAACAAATTTCATCTTGATTCTTAGGAATTCTTTCTTTTGAAATTAGATTTTACTAATTTCAACTCTGTTTTTATTTATATATACATTTGTCTTAACATTTTTTCATATCTCATGTTGTTTCTATACCAGTTTAGTAAGAATGAGTAAGAGGCTCAGTTGTATATTAACTGCAGGGGATTTGGAGATCATGCCTTCAATACATATTTGTCTGACCACTGTGACTTAATAGTTATAAAACAAAATTTTTTTTCAAAATTCTTTTCAGAGTGTTCTGCATAATTTATAATGGCAAAATTTCATAAAATTTTGTCTTTTTTTTTATCAATAGATTTCAAAGATTTAGTCTATATTTTGCATGGATGTGCAGGTGATGTAGTGGATGGCAGCTAAGAACTTGAACTAAGTTCAACTTCCAGTTAGGTTTATTACATTCACTTATGTGCAAATACCCTTGGGAAAGGTATGGATTCATCTCCTTGGCCCAGCAATGGGTTAAATAGTAGGGTTTGTATCTGGAAAAAAAAATCATTATTATTCTAAGAAAATGCTTATGCAATATTTACTTGCAAAAAAAAAAAGAATTATTCTTAGAATCCAAAATTAGTTTTGGTTTTAAATAACCCACAAAGAGTCATTAAACTGTACAAATTGGTCAATCTATATTTTGTTTTCATGAGTTTAACATTAATTTTCAGTGAAATCATTAGGTGAAAATGTTAGATTTAATGAATTTGACACATTAATGTTTTTTCACCAAGTTAACTTTATGATCTATCATTCTTTGGGGGGAAAAATTGGATTTTCCTAACAAAATTGTTTTTTCTGTTCTAACAAAATTGCTAATCACTAAAAAAAAAAAAAAAAAATAATACTAACATATCTGATTTACACATCTTGCCAAAAATTTTGTAAGTAATTGGATGGGTCAAAGAGCAAAATGTCTTGTTATTGATATTTAATAGTGATGGTCGAATGAAAATGACAAGACAAATGAATTACAATACACACACACACACACACATATATATATATAATGTGTGTGCTGGCACTGAAGTCAATGCCGAGTGGTGATAGTCAATCTTGGATGCAATCTTCAGGCCATTATATCAGATCATTGCAAAAATTTGTGTCCAATTTTCATTTTTAATATAAAATGGCTGCAACTTGACACTAGCATTTGTTTTGGTGCCAGCTTCTGGTGCAAGTCAGATTTTGTTGAATGTTGACATTTTGTCCACAAATGAATGCCTTAGGAAGAGAAGATGGACTTTTGCCATATTTTGCATTGGAGCTGCAACACAAAACATTCAGAAGGTTTATTTCGATCATGCTCCACCTTTGCAGACGGTCAAAAAGTGGTTTGGCAGATTTTGTCAGGATGGTTTTTAACCTAATCTATCAACCACGCTCTGGGTGACCTTCCAACATCAAGACCAAAAAAGCAAACATGTGAAGGAAAAAAAATGATATATATTGCTTGAATATTACTCGCTTACTTTTGCATAATCAAGCTTTGAATTATGGCACTTTGTGTTCACATGTTTCAACTAAGTTTCAACCACCTGATGAATATTGATATATATAATGCACACCTTGTGTAACAGCAAAATTGTCCAGTTGTTAGATTAAGCTTTGAATCGTAGCTTATAAATGATTAAAGATAACGTACTGGAATTCTCCAAGGTTTTTATAACACTGTTGGACTCTACATTGAGCAATAAGAATGTATAATTACTCTCAAGCTTAACATAAGAATCAGGATGAAATTGATCATAAACAAAAATGACATGTTCATCATTAATTAATCATAGCTAAGGATCAGAAGCTCATGAAGGATTGAAATAAAATTTAAATATATATTATTCCAGGATTATTTTCCAACTTATTCAAGATGATCTTTGCCCTTTCTAACCTAACTTTGTGTCCTGGATTAACAAGGTGCCTCACAGTTTTCACGTATGATTTCATTTTCAAGTCTTTTTTTCACTGCTCTTTGGACTGTCATAGCTGAAACTATTCTCTCACGTGCCAAACATTTTATGGATTAAATTGGATGTTTTCTAATTGATCTCTTTAGCTTGAAGTTGAATGATGATCCCTCTTCCTATTGTGACTGTCTGATCCAGTTTTCCTCTCTACTGTCCCCTCTTTTTAAAACTTATTCACCATTTTCGTGATGGTTCTTGAATGGACTTGTGAGATGAAAATGAGAGTATAAATGTTGGCAGCGTTGCTGAAGGCCTGAATGATTTTTTTCCTCTCACCATTGCTCATTTGGGAAGACAGTGAGTCTGACACAACACAATTTTCAACCTGTTCTCTTTCTAACTGAAAGGGTTTTTCAGTGATTCCACAACAAATAGTATCAAGATGGCTAAATGTCTTATTTAAAAACCTAAAAAAAAGAAATTAGTTTCCCCCTTTATAGATATTAAACATTTTGTTGGATGGACAATTATGCTGTTACATGTTTTGGACAATTTTGCTGTTACGTGGTGTGTGTGTGTGTGTGCACACACACATATATGTAGTTTGACATGGTTAACAAGCTATATTTAGAAAAGGATATATTTTCTTTCTTTTTAAATGTGTATGTGTTTTTTTTTTTTCTCTCTCTACTTTCCTTTTCTCTAATTCTTTTTGCCTCTCTTTCCCTTTAACATTTTTTCACAAAGTGAAAATGACAGTAACTTCTCCTCATTTCAGGTGCTGGCGTATCTGAGGCAATACTTGCTGTCACCCCAATGGAAACACTGAAGGTGAAATTCATCAATGACCAAACCTCAGCCAACCCAAAATACAAGGGCTTCTTTCATGGCGTAAAACACATCATTAAAGAACAAGGTAAGTATTTGAATCTGAAGTACTGTGGTGTATCAGTAGTTCAGGTGTGTAACCTTGGCTCAAGCATAAGCAAGAACATGGGAGAAAATGAATTCTTCCCAACATTTCAATTTTGTGCGATCGAAGTGATTCCAACAGTACCGCATCACATATCGAATAAAAGCCCTCAATCTGCACTGCTCATATTTACCATTTATTATCTGATTTACAACAAAAGACTATCATTTTCAAGTCAATTTAACAATAGACCTACCCACTCAACATCATAGAGACTCTGAATTAGACTGTGGCATATCAGTAGTCTAGGTGAGTACCCTGGGCTTGAGCATAAGCAATAGCAATGGAGAAAATTAATTTTTCCTGACATTTTGATTTTACGCAATCATTTCTTCCAACAGTGCAGCATCACACATGCAATAAAAGCACTCAATTTGCACTGCCCATATTTACCATTTATTATCTGATTTACGACAAAAGACAATCATTTTCAAGTGATTTTAGGACTGAAGCGATTACTGGTATCTAAATTTTTGCCAAAACAGAGTAGCCCCCCACTCAATAAGTAAATACCACTCAATTACAGCCAATCACATTTCTTATATTTTAATATATAAGCCAAGTTTTGTAATAAAGATAAATATTTGAAAATATTTAACAAATATTAATTATATTTACATTAAAAAAGAGCCATATAACTCTCCAGATTATAGTGCGACTTATCTTTTTTACACTTTGTGATACATTTTTCCCCAGTGTGTGTGTGTGTGTGTGTGTGTGCATATATATATATATATATATATATATATATATATACAAATAGAAGATTAATTACTTAGCTGATTGATGTTATATTCAACACACGAACTCCAGATTTTTGTAGACAAACCTTTTTTGTAATCATTCAATTCGCTGGTATCAATAATTGATTGGCAATATCCTCCCACCATCTTTGTTAATTTTATATTGTTAAATAATAATTTGTGTGCTTTTTATTGATGTTAGGTTGATTTCTCCATGTCATAATTTTCTTATACTCTCTCTCTCTCTACCTTTCCTTATTTTCTCTCCTATCTATCTATCTCTCTCTCTCTCTATCTATCTATATATATATATATATATATATAGCCGTAGCAAATGACATAAAGAAAACAATAGCACGTAAGCTGCCACGTGACAATATTACTAAAGGGGAACATATAGCCCTCGATACGCTGACACATAGATGACCTAATCATAATACAGGCTGACAATGGGGGGTGCGACAGTGATCTGGGGAATCGAAGAATACATTAAAGAGGCCAACAAACAGCTAGCCGACAAAGAAACCTATAAAAGCTTACCTACAGATCCCCTTCCAGAAAACTAAAAAGAATTAACTAGCTCACTAAACATAATGCTTCACAACACTCTAATCGACAAGGAAACATGCACAACACTTACACCCACAAACATTACACCTGCTCGTTTCTATCTCCTTCCAAAAATACACAAAAGCAACAACCCAGGACGGCCGGTTATTTCATCGTTCAACTTCCACACGACAAAAATTTCCAAATACATAGACCATTACATACAACCGCTAGCTAAGGAAGTAAAATCCTACATCAGAGACACAACAGATCTACTGAACAAAATTAATCACATACAAACAGTACCAGAGAATGCTATTCTAGTGACTATGGATGTTAGGTCACTCTATTCAAACATTAAAAACATCGAAGGCTGGCTGCCCTTCAGGAAGCACTTACTAAAAAAAGAAAAAAGCAGGACCACCCCACAGAAGTTATCATAAAACTCATGGAGCATGTCCTTACATTGAATACTTTCAACTTCAATGGAGCACACTACCTTCAAATAAGAGGTTGTGCCATGGGCACCATTGCAGCTCCATCATATGCTACAATATTCATGGGAAAATTTGAGGAGACCCATATCTATCAAATCATTGGTAGCGACTCAGTATTCTATGCAAGATATATCGATGATATATTCTTTGTATACACGGATAGTGATGACAAACTTACCCAATTCCTTATGACCCTAAACACAATGCACGACTCAATTAAGTTTGACTATGAAAAATCCACAACATCAGTAACATTTTTAGACACCTGCATTTACATAGATGAAAACAGGAAACTACAAACGACACTACACACTAAAATAACCGACACCCACAACTATCTACACTTTAAGTCTTCCCACCCTAAACACCTCAAAGAGAACATTCCCTATTCACAAGCACTTAGACTCAGAAGGATATGTTCCAACAATGAAGAATTAAATAAACACATTGAAAATCTGGAGCATCAATTCACAACACGTGGCTATAAACAACACCTAATCAGAGAACAAATAAATAAAGCAATTTTCACACCTAGAGAAGACACCCTAATGTACAAGATTAAAAATAAATCTAGCCGCATCCTTCTAGTAACCACTTTCAATCCCACTCTGCCTCCACTATCCCAAATAATCAAACGTCGCTGGGAAATACTACATCTCAAACCAGACCTAAAAAACTGCTTAAGGAACCCAGCCTTCTTGCATATCGTAGACCTAAGAACCTAAAAGAAATCATAGGTAGTAACCACATTTCAGGGGACAAGGTAATCCGTAATGAACTAAGAACAAAAACAACAGGATTTTCCCAACCATGTAACAACAAAAGAAGTTTATGCTGCAACCATATTAAAAACACGAATTCATTCACTAGCTCAATCACTAAATCTTCTTTCAAAATCTACCACGATTCTAACTGTAGAATTCATAACATAATTTACCTTCTAGAATGCACACTATGCCAGAAACAATATGTAGGAAAATCTGAATGGCCCTTTCACTACAGAATTAATAATTATCGTAGTTTAATTAAATCGACTCCCCATGAAAATTATTACCTGTAGAACAACATTTCCGCCTGGAAAAACATGATTTCAAAACCCATGCCAAATTCACTATAATTGAGAGAATAGAAAAGTTCAGAGCAGATAACATTAGAAAGATTTTAGAGTCCCATGAAAATAAGTGGATACAACGTCTGAAAACACAATATCCAGCCGGGCTAAATCATAAATTTAACAACATATAGATAGTCAACAAATCAAAACCTACCTACACTTCTCACCCACACAAGACAGACATGCTTACGGAGGTGTGGAGGCCTCACACTTATACACACACCCACATGAATATACACACTTACACACATCATACTCACTCACTCCCTAAGGAGCCAAATGATAACACACACCTACAGCAATACACACGCTTACACATATCATACTCACTCACTCCCTAAGAACCAAGTAACACACACACAAACACTAAACAGAGAAACATCCCCTCATCAGGTTTAATAAAACTGTCAAACTGACCAGAGAATTCAGAATAATATGTATCTATCCAGCTCTTATTTCAGATAACTTAAAAGAGACTGTTTGACCAACACAAGGAATGTTAAAACATTCATGTTAAAAAGATAAGAAAATAAAAAATAAAAAACAAATGAAAACTACAGACAAAAGTTCATTTTCTCCATTAAGACATTCATTTTTGTAGTTCACTGCTACCAGCAAGCAGAAATATTTCTCCTCCCGATGATGGCCATTTCGGTTGAAACTAGTCGAGGTATCTAAATGGAATAATAATAAAAAAAACGAAAGAATATTAATCTACAACCCAGTGTGTCCAAAGATTTTAATTTTTTATTTTCTTATTGTTCAAAATATATATATATATATATATATATACCAAAGAATTGCTTAACTGTAATTTTCCCTAACTCCACAGTTTTGTGGTAATATGTCCATTATTTAATAGGTTTATGTGGTTTTTCAACTCCATTATAGGCAGGTGCATTCATTTTTTTTATTTTTTTATTTTTTTTTTTTTTTTACATGTGCTCACATGTTCCTTCATAATCGCAGTTATTTTTCAATTTTATATTTTTCAATTTTTATATCTTTATATATCATTGTTTTTTATATGTGTGTGTATAAAATTTATGTATAGTGTTGTTATATTATTATTTAATTTATATTATTTTCTGTTGTGTTTATTATGTTATATTAGTATATAAGTTGTAAAGTAAATATTTATTAAAATGTCTGCATTTATCCAATAATTCATTTCTCTTGTTTAATAATTTAATTTGATTATTGAAATTTATTATATAAAATTATTCTTCTGAACTTCATTTTCTATTATTAATATTATATCTGGGTACCTTTTTATGATTTCCTATTTAATTTTAGTTGATTTTTTTGTTTCCTTTTTGACTGCATACATATTTTGATACTTTGTTATTTGCATATCTGTTTATTTTAAATTACATTTTATGATTATGAAATCATTTTTTAAAAGTTGTTTCAGTTGCTCCTGTATAAGTTTTTTTTTTTATTCTGTATTAATATTATTTGATGCAGTTGCTTTATATATTATATTATTAGTTAAACATTTATTGAGTGGGCATTTGTTTGACAATTACAATTATTGTTATTTTGCAGGTTTGTGTAGTTGCTATTATTTTTGTTTTGTGTTTTTTTTATTATGTTTATTTATTATTTTATTGCACACACACACACACACACGTGTGTGTGTGTGTGTGTGTGTGTGGTATATGCAAGCCATGTGTAAATATAATTGAATAGGCATGCAAGGCCTATTGTCTATTTCATTTGAATATGTTATTTCATATGTGCAATGTGCTTGGCCAATTAGTGCTTAATGCAATTAGCATTTGTAATCATTTAATTAGCATTTCAAATGTGTCACTGAAAGCTTAAGTATTATATCTTAGGAAGTAAAATGCTTTGTTTCTTCCTCAGCAATACCAATGTCTAAAGAAAAGAGGCTAATTCTAAATTAAGTGTGATTAATTATGCACCAAACCCAACTAAATAACTGTAATTTTTTTTTTTGTATTTTCTTGGGCTTACATTCTCAGCTGACATGAATTGGAAAGACTATATTGAATCCATTGCTAGGTCAGCTGCTAAGAAAGTTGGTTCACTGTGTCAGGCAAGACCATTCTTCTCTTTGGAATCTATCTTATATATCTATAAGTCTACCATTCATCCATGCTTAGAATATTGCTGCCACATTTGGTCCAGTGTCTCTACTATTTACCTTGAGCTCCCTGATAAAATCCAAAGAATCAGCAATATTATCGGTCCTGATCTGGCGGCTTGGCTTCAGTCACTTTCCCACATCCCTTTTCTATAAATACTTTCTCGGTAATTGTTTGAATGAGCTCTTCACTATGGTACCTAGACTTTATGAACTTAAGCACAAGACTGCTGTTGAGATATCGTTAATTTACAGTTGAGCTATGTAGATGTAATTGTAAATTCTACGCTAACAGTTTCTTTTCTCGCTTGTAGAACTCCCTTCCAACTTCATGCTTTCCAGCCAATTTTAATACGTGAATATTTAAATGCAATGTCAATTGCTATCTACTGTCCTGATTAATCTTTTCTCTTTCTACTTGCTATTAATGTTTCTGTTCCTAATTCTTCCACACCCTTTGTGTTTTAGTAGCTTTCCTGCCTTTTATTTTACTTTTTTTTTCAAAAAACTTTCTTCAAAATAAGAGTGTACCTTATACCCTGATAACTATGGCTTTTTTTTACAAACTTGAGAAAATATAAAAATCTGACTGAAAAATCACGAGAGATTCCTTGACTTAACTCAGCTTTGCTATATTCATATGGCATCAAATGTTTTTTCACGGGTTTCTTTCTTTCTCTCCCCCCACCACATTATAATGAATGTTCCTAACACAAACTTAATTTTTCTTTGAATAAATCTTTTTAAAAATGTCTGAAAATTTTTTTCTTTTCCAAGCATGTGCTTTGTTTGCCATTTAGGAATCCGAGGAACGTACCAAGGTTTGACGCCAACTATCTTGAAGCAGGGCTCTAATCAAGCAATGCGGTTCTTTGTGATGGAAACATTAAAAGATAAGTACCGTGGAGGTGATCCCAATATCAAAGTGCCAACACTTCTGACTGGCTTATTTGGAGCTCTGGCCGGTGCAGTCTCCGTGTTTGGAAATACACCAATTGATGTGATCAAGACCCGCATGCAAGTAAGATTCAAAGAAAACTTTTATTTCTTGTGATATCACAGGTAGGATTTACTAAACTTTTTCCATTAGACCTTTCATGTACACTAATGACTTATTAGTATAAACATTAGATTTAATGAATACTTATGTTTGAGTAGGCATCTTTGTTCTTTTAAAGTGTAATTTTTGTCTGAATTTCTGAGATGTGACATTATCATTATTTACACTATTTACATGCAGGAAAATAGTTTAATGGATTGAAGTGTTGGTTCATGAAGTTGATGACATAGTAATTGTGAGTTAAATTCCTGGGCCAGGCAGTGGGTACTTGGGCTCTGTGGGGACAGGGTAAGCAATAACTGAATCATATTAAGAATAAGAAGTAGATGAGATATCCCTAGGCATGGGCTGTGGAATGAGGACAATCTACTCCTATAGATTAAAGGATTCAATTCAAAATCCCCTGAAGGTTACCTGGAATAACATACATCTGATGAAGGCTGGAGGGCACAATGGCTGAAACGTTGTGTTAGTAAAAACAAAGATGAGGAAAATAGTCCACATGTAAGTAGTGTAATTGACATCTAACAGCCTGTCCAATTGAATGTCTTAATAAAAAAATTGTCTTTCATCATGGATCAAGCCTGTATTCTCCTTATATTGGGTGAAACTACCTTTTAAGCAAAGTGCTTAGACTACTCAGCCACAAGAAGACCTAGCTTAAAGGTGGTCTTCTCAATATAAAAGGACAAAGGTTTGATACTTGTCAAAAGGCACATTTTCTTAAGACTTTTTGATTGCCCAATCCTGTAGACATCAATTAATAAGATTGGCCATTTCCATATAGGAAGCATTCAGCATTTATTGACTGAATAGTTAATCTTAATTTCAGTTGAATTTATAAAATCTTTCTCTTAAAACAGTTTTTCAGGAAAATAGGTTTCTCAAGTCTGTTTATTAGTATTGATGAGTTTCTTTCCTAACCTTTTGTTTTTGGTAGTGTGGAAAGTTAAAACATTGACTATACTCAGCGGCCTTTTGAACAGGAGTAGAGGCTTATCCCTTGTTTCCTGTTTAGGATTGGGTTTCCAATTCTTTTTAAAGTCTATTTTCATCTTTTTTTTATTTTTTTTTATTTATTTAAACACAAACTTAAGACCCACAATTATGTAGTCATGTACAGCCTTAAAGTAGATATTCTAAAATACTCCTGATGCTTGTACTTTCCTATGCTAATATAAGTTCATGCAGTAACCCTCTACCATGAGTTACTCTTGGGCCTTGTATTAGGTAAATATTAAAATAAAATGGTTAATATCTATGGGGGGGGGTGAAAAAAAAATTATTTTCACTTGTCTATATGTGCTATCCAATGTTAGTATATGCTGCAGTTGGAAATTTTTAATTGATGCGGTTTTTATTTAGTAAAGTTTTTGTGATTCTGTAGCACCAGTCTGTGTGATATTGCAGTGAATGCCAGATAGTTTTCTCACAGAAGAGATTTGAGGCAACAGGTGTAGTTCTACAGAAAGATATTGAGAATACGATAGACTGAGCATGTGAGCAACAAGGATGTTTTAAAGAAAATGTAAATGGAAAGAACAATTATACTTAGACAGTTGAAATTTTTGGGACATGTAATGAGGAAAGGGGGCTTGGGGAATTTGATATCCACAGGACATTAACGGCAAGAAGGGTAGAGGGAAACCGTGAATAACATTCCTAACAGGCTTGTGAAGATTGATAGCAGAACAGGGACTGGGAGAGATAGTAAGGAGACAAAAATTACTTAGAGCTACAAAGGATAGAAAGCTGGGGAGGGCCATAAACGCCTAGCACATAAAAGCAAGATTTCTGCTGTTTTTATAACTACCCACTAACAATTGTCTTGCTTGCTACTTGGCTTTGGACATTTTATGCTAAATATTTCTGACAGTAGGATCATTGGTATGGTTTTGGGATAGCTGTACAGCAACTAACTAGTTCCCTCCACATATCTGGATTGAAGGCATTGGGCACCTTGAGGTGGTGTAATGGCTAATAAGCTTGTCTCACTAAAACAATTATAACTGAGTAGTGAGTTTGATCCTCACTGGGTGCCCCTTACTTTCGGCCTTGTGCCACATCCAAACTATGCTTTGAAAATCAAAGGGCAACTCGGGGCGGTGTAATGGTTAGCAAGCTTGTCTCGCTAGAACAATAATGACTGGATAGTGAGTTCGATCCTCACTGGGTGCCCCCATACTTTTGGCCTTGTGCCACATCTAAGCTACACTTAGAAAATCACTGTCTGGGTTGAAAGCCAGAAAGGTAGTCATGTATGTGTCTCGTGTTGTGAGTAAGTAGACCTGGCAGAGATCATCCCTCTCCAGGTCAAACTGCAGCCAATATGAAGGCACATGGCTGTTGATTCCATTAGGGGAACTCTTCACTCTGGCTGTTGACTTCAGTTTCAAAAAACACTGGTTCCCTTATGATCACTGAAGTTAAGCAACATCGAGCCTGGTCAGTACCTAGATGGATGACCTCTGGGTGCTGTAAGCTTGGATGTGCAGTTGGTGTAATGGATAATGGCTCAGAATTGTTAATCGGAGGGCCAAGTTCCAATTCCAGTTGGATTTGTTATATTCACTAACATGCAAATACACTTGGGGAAAGGTATGAATTCACCTCTCCCCTCCAGTTATGGGTTAATTAGTAAGACTTGTATCACTAAACCATTATCTCAAAAAAAAAAAAAATTCTTACAATTTAAAAATATTTTCTGGCTTTAAATAACCTGCAAAAGGTTAAGCCATAAAAAAAACAAATTGCTCAATCAAATTCAGTTTCAGAAGCCCTCCACCCAGTAATGTTGTCATCAACACACTGGCTGTATACATAACTATAGAACCTAGTCTACCTTATTTGTGTTAGATGACCCCTACAAGAAGCTTCCACCCACCCTTTGACATATCTTGTTTTTAATCCTGCTGGTTATCTAGCCACCCTCCTCACCTGAAAGTTTACAACCAAATAACGCTGAAAACCCTGGTTCTCATTCGCTCACTACTGTTAAGCAGTGTTAAGACTGGTCAGTACTTAGATGGGGGACTGCTTGGGAACACCAGGTTCTGTAAGCCACTTCCTGCAATCTTAATGATTCATTTTTAAATAAACCACAAAGGGTTGATAAATCATAAAATACAAATCCGTCAACCTCACCAGAAAAAGCCTGGTAGTGGAACCAGGTTAGTTGCTGAAGACCTGACCATGCAGCAGGTAATACTGGGTGACATGATACCAGTATCACTCACAGATTGACCTGAGATGTCAGTAGGAAGAAAAATTGATCAAAATTTTGCAAATTTTAGCCAAAAATGTATTGACTATGGTTAAATGTAATTGTCAGAAATGCCCAACAAACAGAATTGACAAAGTTTCCAATAAACAATAACAAATGAAAAAACAGGACACAATAATACTAAGCAAACAATATATGCAAGACAAAAATAGGCAAAGCAGCAGTAATGAGGTAAAAAAAAAGTTCACAAACTAAGAATGGTGTTAACACGCAAAAGGGATACAAACAATTGATTGCAGTGTTCAGACATCAAGATAAGAAAGAACAGAAATAGATCAGATAAGACCGAGAAGTGTCCTATCTTAATGATTAGGGAGAAATCCCAGCATGCATCTGTATGTTTTGCCTATAAATTTTTGCAGTCTTTCCTATATAGAGTGGATTCCCCTCCACCACCAACACCACAGTTAAATGGATGAGTGCCCTCGTTTCCTTCCTTTCCTCTCTCCATGGGGCTAATAAGTACAAACTAGATACATTATAAATATTTACAATTGTTTTTGCATTTTTCTCTTTTTTATTTAATATCTTTTGATATTTCAAAACTTATTTGAAATTTTTTTTCCTTTTTTTTTAAAAAAATCCTGTTTTAATTTTTTTTTCTTTTTAAATCACAAAAGAAATAAGTAAAACATAAAAAAAAAACTGAAGTAACAAAAAAGTTGGTGAGCCAGAGATTCAGGTTTGTGCTTCATTAAAAAATTTACTTGATTTCACTTTACCGATAGGTTTAGTAAATAAGTCAGCAACATTATGGTTGGATAAATAAATTATATTGAATAGCTAATTGCTGTTAGTCTTTAGACAATAGATATGCTATAGGAGAGAAAGTTTCATTATAATCTATACCAATCTTTTGCAAGTAACTTTTTGCAATGAATCAAGCCTTGTATTGTTTGTCACCTGTTTTAATAGTGTAGACCCACCAACATCCAATGATTTTTACTAGTTGGGAATGTAGTTAATTTGTATGTATCATTCATTTTTAGAAAGTTTTTCTTTTTTTCTTTTTTCAACCGCCCCCCTAAACACCCCCCCCATGGCCTCATGCCATTTTATAGTCATTTGATGTAATAACTTCAATAGAAGTATTGGGTATATATTTTACCAAGCATCAAATTTACTATGTCATCTAAATTTGTAACAATGTAATCTTTTAAGTATTCAGGCATTTTTGTAACCTGCTGGGGTAAACTTCTGTTGGGTAATTCTGCACTAGGATTATCTCCTTTATTATTGGTTGGATTTTTTGATTGTGCAATTTTCTTTTCATGTTTTTCCTTCCCACGAGGATTTTTCTCTAAATAGTTAGGAGGTAATGTTGCATTTCCTTCAATTGTAGTAGGAGTTTACAAATTTTCAGTAAATCTTAAACACCACTCTTTTCACGTTTTTAATTTCTGGCATATATGCTAGATTAGCAGCATGGCCCAGTGTTGCCTGTGCTTCATTCAAAAATCGTACGACTCATACCACAATTGCTATCACTTGAATTAAAATATTTTTGCCCTTCCTTGCCTTTAAAGGAGTGCCCTTTGCCGTGCTGATGTTGCTAAATGCCTTACTTCTTGCCTATCTCACACTGCGAATTTTTTCTAAGCTCTATACTAAACATTAAATCTGTTACGAAAAAAGAACTAAATAAAATGAACGCAAAACGATCAGCTTTAAAAAAAAAAAGACTCATAACTGGAAAAACCGAATGAAAAACAAATGTTAACAACAAATACTTTTTCACACCCAACCTAGTTCTGTGGAATCAGAATCAATGTTGAGTTTAAGCAAGCGAATGAGCCAATTGGAGTAGTGCCATGCAGATTTAAATTTTTCCCACTTGTGACGAATGCAGCTATCGATTTTTTTATTTTTTTTTGCATGATAGCATGCTAGTTAACATTCGTGCCAGTCAGCTGTTGGCTCTCACACCAGCCAATAGAATCTTCCTGCCTATTCGTGGCAGCCAGCTATAGGCTCTCACTCTGGCCAGTAGAATATGGCCGCAAACTACATGAAAACTGCCGTAGAAGCATGAAAAAATTGATTTCCACTATCGATGGGAGTTGGGAAATGCAAAGTTGGTCTTGGCCTTCCCGCTAACTTTGTGCATGCAAATTTTGGTGCAAATCCGTCGAAAATTGCATCTGTACATTCATTACACACACACAAACACATCCTGCCTTTTATAGATAGAGATAAGCAGGACTTGATTTATTGAAGCCTATGAAAATTGCTTTTTCACATTTAGTGTTCAATTTCTTCCCATCTTGTATGTAGGCATAACAAACTGTGCCAGATATATGCATATTACTGAGGTTATGTTTGTGACCTTTAAACATTTTGAAGGCAATTTTTCTGGCACTTTGATTCTAACACTGATTTCTGATGTATGCCTCTGTATGACCACAAATTTTGGTAATGTTGATTCAATTAGTAGACATCTTCCCATTTCAAATAGAGATTGCCAAGATCTTTCTGCAGTGCCGTTTTGGTATGCAGAGTATTGGGCCAATTTCTTATGTTTAATATGATTATTGATTAGAAGAGTTTAAAGATTTTCAGAAGTGAATTCTATGCTGTTATTGCTTCCTAGGAATTTTACAGAACCATATGGAGCAATGTCTTACAAATATTCTATATCTACAACAACATTCCTGTTCACATTCACAATACAAAAATTACTAATCAACAAGTTCTTGAGTTCTACCAGTTCAAACCTTAACAACGCAGGCATATACCATGTTAATTTCATGGAGTTGAATTATCCTCATTTCCTCCATGTTCCAAATGTAAAAAAAGTTTTCCTCAGAAAGCTTTATCCCCAAAAAGGTGGCAGTCCTTGGGTAAAGAGGAGCTGTCAATTTGTGCACCAAAATTCATAGGACAAATTTGGAAATTTTTCTTTTTAGAATATCCAAACTTTTCAGAATGTCCTTCTTAAATATCTTTTAATTTTTCATGTATTTTTATTTTTAGGGTCTTGAGGCCCACAAATACAAGAACACCCTTGATTGTATAATAAAAGTGATGAAGTACGAAGGACCTACTGCGTGAGTACACATTTTCCCTAACATGGGGGAACGTTTATGGTTTTTCTTCTTTTTTTTTTTCTTTTTCTTTCTTTCTCTCTCTCTTTTTCTCCTCTCTCTCTCTCTCACTCTGGAATTTTCCAACACCCCACCTGGGGTTTATTATGGCCATATCATTTATTAATTTAGCAGTTTTTGAGCTTTCAATTGATTTTCTGATTCTTACATTTTATTACAACACCCCTGTTTGTTGCATATTGGGAAAAATTTTGGCCCTCCCCAGAATTATTAAGGCCCTTTTATATTGGCCACCTAAGAGTAAAAAGATTAAAAATAATGAATAGTTCCTAGTAGCTTTCAAAATGCAGAAACACTTCACTCTGAAATTGTGCTTTTCATCTTAGTATCCATCTAAAGCCTACTTGTTCTTTATTTTATCATATATGCATACACTGAAAGCATCTAATAAAGATCTTTCTGTTTTTCTTTGTGTTTTTTTTTTTTTCTTTCTTTCTTTGTTTTTCTGGGGTTTTTTTTCCCTTTTTCTGGGTTTTTATCCCCTTTTACTTTCTTTTCTTTTTTTCCTCCCTCCCCAGCTTTTATTTTTCTCAAATAAAATGCAAAACCACTATTTGCTGCAATAAAACTCTTCTAATTTCTGGCCTTTGTTTCTTGCCTGCAGCTTTTATAAAGGAACCATTCCCCGACTGAGTCGAGTTTGCTTGGATGTAGCCATCACGTTTATGATTTATGATAGCTTCATGCAGTTCTTCAACAAGATTTGGATCACATAGAACTTGCATGTCAACATTCCTCTACTGATACTGCCAACACCGTTTGCTGCTGCTGCTGCTACTACTGCTTTAACCCTGGACATGACATGACGAAAGCACCAACCAGCTCCCAGCCAGACACGTCCATGACAGCTATATTGGACAAGGAAAAATTCAGCTGCTACAGAAAAGTTGTCTCCCTTGATTTGTTCAGGTCATAAGTGACTTCTTCAGTTTGTTTCATGATGTAATTTAGTTTCTTATTTAGCCATAATCACTAATTTTTTTTTTTTGTTTTGTTGTTTTTTATCAGATAATGAATATGCATTTTATAAAACTTCAACAAAAAATTTTTTAAAGGAAACAAAATACATACTGAAAATCTCAGGTTTTATTTAAAATTTACTTCTCTTCATGGATGACTAAAATATTCACATGTTGTATAATAGATATCCTTTAAACTGCTGTTGATATTTTTTTTCTTGCAAGAAAAGTTCTCCCCTACCTGCCCAGAATTTTTAATCTTCAAGGCCGTAAAGTTATTAAATGCATAGAACTAAACTGAACAAAATCATTGCCATCTTTAATTTATCATTAAGATAAATGAGTTATCTTAAGGGTCAAAGTTGAACTTGAACTAATTTTCTTATATGGGGGAAAATGATATATAAATTTTTATATATCAAAAAACAATTTTAGGGAAGAAAAAAACTATAACAAAGTAGGAAAAGTTTTCATGTAACTCATTTCATCCTTTAGGACTTCATCGGACTAAAGTGATGTTTACATTGATGCAACTACACATGTGCTTGAAAGAAAGGGGATGGTGAGAATAACATATATATAATTTTTTTTTTTAAGTCTCTACCCATAATAGATATTAAAAAAAACAAAAAAAACAATTAAAATTCTCACCATCTCCTCCCCTTCATGTGTATGTGTAGTTGCTTTATTTCCACCTTTTGGTTAAAATCATGTAATGCTCTGGTCATTTTGTTGATTCAAATCCAAATTGAGGATTAACTGCCTAAATCTTTGAAAAGTCTTTCACAGAATATAAAACCTACTCATGTGCTTGTAAAATCTACAAAATATATGTGAAAACATCAGCACCAAATGGTGACAATTTGTTTCATGCTTGAATGTAATCTTCAGGTCATGTGGGGTTGGATGGTAGCTTGATTATTTGTACATGTTAGTCATTGTGGCATTATGGATGGCAAGGTTTATTCTTTTAAAAGAACAGAAGTAGCTGTTCCCACCTATTCAACAGCTGTTAGAATAACTCACTAAACTGGAAATAGTTGACTTTGCTACCCTTAATACCCTATTGACTAACATATATAAATAGTTTAGCGATTCAGCCCACATAACCTGAACATTGCATGAAACCGACTGTTGCTATTCGGGGATGACCTGTATCACAGATATTGGACTCTTTCGCCCATAAATAAGGCATACCTTGAAATTATATTTTCTGATATATGTAGGTAGGTGTACTAGTTAAAGAAATTGCCTTCTTTTTAAAATTAAGAAAATGTCATTTAACTTTGAAGAACTTAGTGTTAAGTTTTATTGCAGGAAGAGGAAAATTCAAATTTAAGTGGACGTATACAGAAGAGTATGTATGTGCACACACACACACATATATATATATATATATATATATATATCCAAGTATATTATTGGTGTATACAGAATAAATTCCAATAAACAACAATTACTATTCTTAAGAGTGCTCAATACAGAGTAGAGTGAATATAATTATTTATTTAAAAATTATAACATAAATATGTTTTAAATAAATAATTATATATATATATATATATATATAAAATTTTGAACTAGATTTGTTTAGATTGATGAAACTACACATGTACAAGAGACACTGGAGATTGTCATGCATTTATTAATCTTTTATAAAAAAAAAAATATTAATGTTGAATGATTAACCATGACTTTTTATTTGTAATTAAACTTTTTTGTACTGAACAATTTTACACTGTTTCATATTGCAAGTATGCTTTGTTTATAATTTGGCAAGTTGTAATTTTTTTTCTTAGGTCATAACAAATAAATGAATATTAAAAACAATAATTTGTATCATAGAATTGAAAGCTTAGTGTTTTCTGCCATAGAGTTATCCTTATACTTTTCAGTATAAGGATCACATTATATATTTGGCACATTTTTATGGGACAAAGGAAGAATTTATTTGTGGTCAGAATATGCCACAGTAGCAACACCTAGTATGATGTAGGTATGGTCTTATATTCAACTATCTAGAGTTCACATACACACACATATATATATATATATATATATATAATATGATTCAGAAGAGAGAAATCTGTTAAAAAGTAACAAAATCGTGAAGTGGGCTGGAGGTTTAGGCTGAGGTTTGTAATTTGGAAATCCCTAATATAGAGTAAGGGGGGGAAAAAATAATAAAAAAACAGATTTTCTGTAATGTTTTTTCACTTTGCTTAATTTCTAAGATTTCAGAAGTTAAGGGTAAATGTTATTTTTAATAAATCATTTATTTGGACTTCATCTCATGGTATATATCTGGTTAGAAAGAAAGTTCTCAGTTTGTAAAATGTTTAATTTATTTAGAAACAGCAAAAACTTTCCTTCCAGCTACATATTATCTGAATATGGTATAATTTTTTTAAAAACTAAAAAATGGTTGTAAATGCAGTCAATAATATGTATTTGCTATATGAAACAAAGTAAAAAAAAAAAAAAAAAAAAAAAAGTCATAAAAATCTATCAAGTTTTGTTATACTGTTATTACTTTTGTTATTGGAAAGGCTTACTTTTGTTTTACATAAAAAGTTCTTTTCAATATAGGTTCATGTTAAAATTATGTAATCAAGTTTTTTTTTCTTTTCAAGACTTTCTAAAATGCTTCTGCTTTATTCACTTATTTTTAAAGAAATAAGAACGCCACTTTGAAAGATATTTTTTTTTTATTTAAAGTGGGAAACAGTTTTTTTTTTTTTTTTTTTTTTTGCTCTCTTTATTAAGGGAAACAAAAAAAAATAAAATGGCGGGAGTTGCTGAGTGCTCAAACCAAAAAATTAGGTTAGTTATGTATATTGGTAACCAATAGACAGTTTTAAAAAATATTGTATTTTTTGTTTTTTTTAAATATCTTTGAAATATTCATTGTGTTTTATCAGCATTGTATCAATATCTTAGATCCATGTTGTTTTATAGAACAAACAAGCAGACAAAATGGTGTTTTCTATTTTTGTGAGTGAGATTCTGAAAAGTGGGGAAAAGGCAACTCCTTTTCTTTTTCATTGGAAAGTGACATTCTTCCACATTCCAAAAAGCAGGAATATATTTACAAAAAATAATTACAATGGATAGGATGACTAAATAAGGAACATCTTAATAAATTTGACATTTTTTTCATTCTTTATTTAGCTTTATCAGAAATCTTGGAATGCTAAAAAGGGAAATGAAATATTCATCATATCATGCCTAAATTTTAATACATACTTAAACTAAGATAACATTTAAAAAATTAAGCTTATACACAGATACCATGAGATATAAATGGTATGTTCCATGCAACCAATAAAAACAAAACAAGCATAGAATTTAAAAACTGAAATATAAGTCCAAATCATTCCAAATTTGTGATGAAACTAAATAAATAGTAAAACACGTTAAATTTATAAAGCTTTCCTCATTGTTCCTTATTCAATTGTTCTGTCAGATTTAATTCATATTTTCAACTCAGTGGATAGAATCTATTGTATTTTTAAATTCTTTTTAAAAAAAGAAGAAAAAAAAAATAACCTAAATAGGGGATCTTTATTCTCTTTCTGCTAATATTTTCCGCAAGGATTCCAAAAATGAACTCTATGATCAAAATTCCATTTTAAAGACAAAGTATTTTGGTATTTGGTAGAGAATCAAGGCAAATATTTAATTTCTTTTATATATATATATATATATATATATATATATATATATATATAAAATGTTTTAACAAAACACATTCTAGTTTTGGTTTTATTTCTAAATGTCTTTAACACATTTTTACTCCGCCTTATTACATTGAGATTTATTTTTTTATATATATATAAGATTGCTTGTTGGGATTATTCCTCTGTTAACTGCTTATGTACCAAATTCCTGTCATTTATTTTCTGCTTACAAGTAAATCTTTATTATCTCTCTTTGATAAAAGAAATGGTTTCTTTCAGCACTTTTTAAACATGAAAAAAAATGTCAGCAACGTAAAAATTAAATACACTTCTCAAGATCTATGGTTCGAGCCTGATCTCTGTAAATCAATTGCAGACAATCTTCTGTGATTTTTCACATTCAAATTGAAATTTTATGAAATGTTTGGTTGTCTCTCATGAAAGGAAAAGAGTGTGTTCTACTAATTCATTAATTTTTGTTTTAATACATTATAACATTGGATGGAAATCTTTTGTGGGTGTTTTTAGACATTTGACAGTTAACCTGTTATTGGTCTAAAGAATTTTTTCTTGTTACTATTCTTTTTTTTTTTCTTTTTTCTTTTTCCCCTCTTTGTTTCTTTTTCTTCTCTTTGTTTATTTTTCCCCTCTTTGTTTCTTTTGTTTTTCTTTTTGTTTCCTATCTTCCAAAGTCCTTTTTAAAACAATTATATTTAAAGGAATAGATATTTATTGTTAGTTTTCATCAGACATTCATATACATATATTTTTTATTTATTTTCTGTTTGTTATTTTTATAAATATAATTTATTTAAGCAAATGCTCTGTTTTTTAAACAGTATTAATTACATTTAATAGCCTGATTGATTGAGAAATTTCATAGAAAATATGCACTCTCTGATTGGAATTCATAATTTCTATGAAATTTCTCAAATATTCAGGCCAGTAAATGTAATTAATACTGTTTAATTAAAAAACAGAGCATTTACTTTTCTATAAAATAACATAAACATAAAATATCTTGAATAATTGTCAGACATAATCCATTTCATTTTATATATATATATATATATATATATATATATATATATAGGATTGTTCAGCTGTCAAAATAAGCTTTATTGGTATACAAATATGACCTTCCTGTTTTCTGTTTCAATTCTGTTATCAGAAAGATTTGATAAAACTAAAAAATGAGACTAGAATCTTATTGGAGATGAATTTTGTATTTACTTTACAAATATGATTGGAATTTGACTGTAAAATGTCACCCATCATCACTATCGAATTCAAAATAACTTTTTACATTCCATATTGACGTGATAAATCGTACTGATCTGGTTGCCTTTTTCCACTCACAACACTTTTTTAAATTATTTATCTCCAAATCAAGGGAGATAATAATGATACTCATTGATAGTTTCTTTTCTATTTGTTAAATGAGACTCTATTATTATGCTAGTTACATATATTTGGGAGATGATATACGTTTCAATCAAATTTGTAAAATTTGATTGAATTTTCTTTTTTATTCAGCTCCTACAGAAGTAATCAAGAGAAGATAAATTCTTCATCTTTTTTGTATTAATTTTAGTTTAATCACGGAAAATAGTTTTGTTGAATAAGTAGTGAGAATTTTTAGTGTTGTTAAGCAACGTTTACAAATTGTCTGCTTTATTTAATCATTTTTGTAACAGCTGGTATATGTGAAATCGAAATATTTGTGAAAATCTTCCTGATGTTTTAAGAAATTACTGACGAAAAGTAACAAAGAAAGATAACTCTGGATTACTTGAGAGTTTTTCTTGCTTCGTTCTTTTCAAAGTTTTATCTGAATGCTCGCCCAACAAGCTTTCTTAATTTATAAAACTAGAAGTCAATTTCTATCTTATCAAATCCAAAGACCACAAGAAAAATAAATTCACTGAGTTTTTTGTTTTTTTTATTTCTTTCTTTCCAGGAATCCATCCAAATAATTATTTCACAAATGACTTGGAAAATCACTTCATTAAAGCAATCATTCAATGGATAAAGAAGTCAGCTAAATTTTGTTTCAGCACTACAAAATCCAGTTATCATGAAAATAATAATTCCTTGTTAGAATATTGAGTTTATTTTGGTAAAAAGATAGTTATTGGATTAAAGCAATTTTTAATAGAACCAGTTAAGGAACAAAATAACTTTCAATGGCTTCTGAGATTAACTTAAAAAAACTTCTAGATTAAAAACTTCAATTAATTTTTCAAGGGATTTTTTAAAAAATTTGCATTCGATATGAAAAATAGTAGTCTGCATGATTGATCAGATAATTGTATGTTTCTCACCAGCAAAAGTTGTTTGTATTCAAGCCCAAGTAAAAGCTTGTATTACAAATGCTGATTTTCAAAGAAGACTCTCTCAACAATCTTTCTGCAACACAATCTTTCTACAATTTTGGGTTGTATGCAGTCAGATATTAGTTTTTCTGAATTCTAGGATTTGATTTGAGACCCAATTCAAAATAATGCTTCAAAATTTCCAGATTCTCAATACTTGAATGTGTCTTATCTGAAACAAAATGGCACAGATTATTGGCAGACTTAGTGGCACCACATTTAGGTGAATTAGTATAATGAGGTAGCATGTTGTTCTAATAAAATAGGTGTTGTCCAATTTTGGAATGTTAGACCTTACTACCCATAATGTACCATTTATCAGCATGTATAACTAACCGAGGCAAAACACAACACACATGGTCTGACTGAATATTACATTCAAGAAGCTCAAAACAGACTGCTGCCGCTTGGTGTTGACCATATATATATATATATATATTAGGTAAAAGGTTATAGTTGTTCAACAAAAGAAATATTTTAAAAAAAGAGAAAACTGCAAACATTTTTGGTTATAATATTTTATTCTAGTGCATATATAATATTTTATTCTTCATATTTCTGCTACACACGTTTCCAGTTTTGTGACCTTCTTCAGGCAAATAAAAGGAATAAATTTCTTATGTTCTTTTAATGTTTCGTTGTTCATTTTCTGTATTTGTAGTGAGCCTTGATCTCATTTCTGGAGTGTTGGTAAAAGCGAATTTCCACCTGAGGTTTGGTCTGAGAGGTGGTGATGATAGATGCATTCCTATCCCTACATTACCCCTGAGAGTGTTAAATCTATTTCCATTTTTGTATATTGTGTGTGCATGCATGTTCCTGTTAGCTTGCATATGTATACATACTGTCTTATAATAAGAATACCTCTCAGACTAAACCTAATGGTTTTATTACCACTTAGGCAGAAATACACTTTTGCCAACAGTCCAGAAATGAGATCAAGGCTTACTACAAATACAGAAAACAAACAATAAAACATTAAAAGAACATAAGGAAAATTTATTCCTCTTTTCTGCCTGAGGAAGGTCACAAAACTGGAAACACATGCAGCAGAAATATAAAGAATAAAATATATACACTAAAACAAATTTACATTATAACCAAATACATTTGCAGTTTCTCTCTATTTTTTTTTTTTTTAAATATGTAAACACAAGGTATACCACTGGTACAGCTGAACGGTATAGAATAAAACAATATATTGGAACCTATATAGTCTTTATTTATGATTCTATTATATGTCATTATATGTAAACATTAAATAAGCTTTGGAGTAAAAGTTTATAAAAAAAAAAATACACTACATAACATTATTAAAAGCAAATATAATAGAAATAAAAGAAAGTGAATCATTTTTAGCTTTGTTTATCCAGTTGATCAATAATCTTTTTCCTAGTTTGTTGGTTGATTTTAAAGACTCCATATTAACTAAAAGTGATATAGAAAATGGAACTCAGTTGCTAAATTTCTTACATTTCAATGTAAAGAATTATAAATACTTCAAAAAAATTAGAAAGACTTTTCTTTGTAATATTTCTGGGAACTTAATGAAGTGATGCTGGAAGTTTTACTCTCCAGGTATGTCCTTTTGTGAAATAATGTCCCATTTAACTCCCACTTGTAGCTGGCTGTATCAAAATTGTTCTAAAACAATACTGTCTCTTCAAATTCCCTGTTCAGGGGGCAGCCAAGCTATGTTCTTAAAGCAATAATTTCCCCTTATCAAGACCCAAGCAATATTTTTTTTATTGCTTGCTGAGAAAAAAATATGTGATAAAAACTATTTATCATACACTTTTTGTATGTTTGTTACAACAAAAAATATTTTGGATGTAAAATGAAAATTTTCCTCACAATTTCAATGTTCATAATGTTGTCTTCTAAAGTGAAATTAGTTTAATATGCTTCTTGTATTAAAATAACAAATCAACATTGGTTACCTTGAATAGGGAATCAAAGTATTTTACATTACAGAAGAGTTGATATTTTTTTTTGTTGTTCTCTTGCAATAAGTGATTGTTTTTTTTATTGTTTCCATCTTGCTTCTCTGTTCTGTAAACTGTTTATTTTTTATGGCAAGAAAAAAATAATTTTTCTTCCAGATATAATTCATTTTCTTAAAAGGACCAAGTGATTATGTGACTTATAAATTTAATTTCTTTGAAAGCATTTTGTTTGACAAATATTGTGGATTTTTGCATCTCAGTGGGTTATTTTATTTTTGGGGCTTCATTTTTAAGGGACAATATATACTGTCCTTTTTTGATTTTTTATCTATATATAATATATAATGTTTATTCACTCTTTTATGATGTCTGATGATTTTTTTTAATAAATATTAGGTGAGTTTATCAGGAGAACAAGTCTGAAAATTGAAACCTCCTTTCTCCCTATTTCAGTTGACAAATCATCTTTGCAATAATCAATTTCTCCTTGGAAATCAGAGACTCCCCTCCACCTCCCAATATACTTAACATTTTTCTTAATTTTTTTTTTTTTTTTTTTTTTGAATTTCACATCTTTCTTTGTTTTTATTTTCAGAAACAATTATTTTCTCTTATTTTTAATAATTATTTTTCAAATTTCGTATATTACTTTCAAAATAAAATTTGTTATTTTTATTTTCAAAATGTTTTGGATTTATTTAATTTCTCTGGCAAGGATTCATAAAAATCAATGAAAGTAATCACTAAAATTTTGTATACTTTTGAAAATCGTTTTGTAAAATTTTCAAATTTTAGCTAAAATAAACAAAAAAACATAGGATTATTTCAAATGAAAAACTTTTAACCTTATTTCTCTCTCTTAGTTCTATTTTTCAGCACCCCATTGATAAGAATAAAAAATCTGTTTTTAACCAATGCTTTTTTTTGCACAAAAAAGCAAAAATTTAAAAGAAGAAAAAAAAAAAGTCGATATTTTATTTTTTTCAGTTATCAATATTTGTTTCATTTTTTTAATAATTTCATCCTAAATGTTAGAGAATGTGGAAAAATACTATTAAGGAGAGAGAATAATAAAAGAATTAAGACAGAAGATAATGATTGACATTACGTTTAAATTTTTGAAGATCAAAGTTGAGAAGTGTGATAGAAGAAAGTTAGCATAAAACTTAAGGTTACATCTAGCCATTTCAACTAATCAGAGAAATGTAAACATGACCAAGGATTACCTAAGCAGTTGTTTATTTTCTTGATAATCTTTTTTGATGATTATATTAGTCAGGCTTGTTTGATATTGAGCACCTTCATAAGGGGGATACAGGTTTAAAGAATCTGTCTTCTGTATTAAAGACTTTTGAAAACCTAAAGTCAATAGACAAAAATT